CTTCCCGCAGAGGGGGGAGCCCGATGTGGGGCTCGATCCCAGGACCCTGGGATGATGACCTGAGCCGAAGGCAGACGCTTAACGACTGAGCCACCCAGGCGCCCCTACATGGTGGTTTTAAAGAACAAGAATTCTAATCTTGAAGGGATGCATACAGAAATATTAATGCAAGAAATATTATCATGTCCAGGGTTTGCTTCAAAACAATCCAAGGTAGAGGAGGGCTGGGAGGTATAGTTGAAGCCAGATGGGTGATGAGCAGATTTTTATGGAAGGTGGGTGGTGTACCTGCAGGTTCATTATACTTTTCTCTCTATTTTTGTATATATTGAAATTTTCCTCTGAGAGAGAGACAGAAATACAGAAAAAGCCCTCCCTCTCTTACTCTCTATTCTTTTCCTGTGGCTCCAGAGAAAGACACTTCCATCTCCTCAGTGCCTCCCTTGCTCTTATCATCAGGGGCAGACTTCCGATAAAACGGAGTCACACGTAACAGCTCAGGGGGAATCCGTGTAGCGGCAAGTTGAGAAGAGGCGTCCCATCCGGAAGAAATACACCGTGAGTGGCGAAGTTTCCAGCACCATGGCAGTCCGGAAGGGAGGACATTTCTGAGCGGATGGGGGGTGGGCAGGAGGCCCTCCGAGCGCCTCTCAAGTCATGCCCCTTGTAGGAAGCTGGGGCAGAGGGCTTCCCCTGCTTCTCTGAGCTCTGTTGTTACCATGGTGGGCAGGCTTTGAACTCAGCATTGTGCAGAGACAGGGAGGTGCTGTGAAGTAACCGTGAGCAGCTGGTTGAATTCGTAAAACTCTGTTTCCTCTGATGCGAGATGAAGAAAATGCTACTTAGCTGTCCAGGTTTGCTGTGGGCAGTGCCACGCGGACCTCTAGGGAGCAGGGCCTGGCCTGGCGCCAGTCGTGCCTGGTGACAGCTTTCAGTAAACACTGCCGCCTTTTGCAAAGGGCGTGGAGCTGGGCTGGTGAAACCGGGAGACCTGAGCAGGACATGGCTCAGAAACTCTGCTTAGCTGGTAGAAACCTCAACCTGTGCAGCCAGGCCTACTTCAGGCCTCCCCAGGCTGTGGCTACATGCGCCACAGGCCCCTTGTATGGTGGGTTGGGCTGCTCGTTTGCAGGCCAGTCTGTCCGTGTATAGACCAGACGACCCTGTCTAATCCCGGCCTGCTCTCGGCCACCCACATTATCACGGGTCCCTCATAGCCTTCATCGGCCATTATGTGATTTGTTTATATGTTTCCTTGATGATGGGCACGGCATTGAAGGCAGAAACTTTGCCTCGTTCCCCACTTTGTCTACCAAAACAGGTCTCCAGAAGTGTTTGTGGAATGCGAGAGTGAATGACTGAGTGAATGAATGACCACACACATGTGTGTCTCCCCAAGGAGAAGGCAGACTGGCCGAAAACAACAAAAAATTTAATACCTTTATTTGGGGTTTTGGTTACAAAAGTAATACATGCTTATTATTTTTTAGAATATGCAAGTGTATAAAGTAAAAATGGAAAATTATCCCCTTCCCTCCATTGCCTCTCTCCAAAGGTAACCATGGTTATACTTGGATGGAGTCTCTTTCCTACAGCACGGGGGCGGGGTATGCCCCACTCCCTTCCCACCATGAAGACCTCACTGCTCAGGTCAGGAGATACCTGCTCTTTCACTGTTCTCCCCATTCCCAAGAAAGGGCCTCTGAGACTCCCCAGAGACACAACACCACAGCTTTCCTCGTTCCTTCTGGTGCTTCTGCCTCCCGGCCGCCTCCCCCACTACCCTCCCCCCTCCTCACCCCCGCCAAATCCAGAGCCAAACAAAATACAAAATGGCCCCAGAGTAATTAGAAAACCTGAGCTCCGGAGTCGGATGGACCGAGGTAGGGATCCTGCTCTGCATCTCCCAGGTGCCTTAGCCCCTTCTGCACCTCAGCTTCTTCCTAAGGAAAAGGAGGATGATTTACTTACAAGATTGGGGTGTGGCAAGGGGTAAGTGGGGCACACGTGCAAGGGTGAGTGTGACCATGTGGTTCATACAGGTTAGTTCTGCTTTCTCCCTAATATCACTCCCTTGGCTGGACTTTGATTGCTTCCCTGTCACTTTTATTTTGCTAGAGATGAAGAACAACATTTTTTTAAACATTTTTAACATTTTTATTCTTGGAGATTCCAGCTTCATCATCTCCTCTCCCTTCCCTTCTCTGGGTTTAATCCTTCTTTCCTCCCTTCGCCATCTTACCAAACGGTGGTCTAAGACCTGTTTAAAGAGGTCCGAAGAAGTCTGGCTGAGGCTGGAAGGAAAAGGGGGAACCCACAGTGGGGCCCCCAAGGCCACAAGAATCCATCTTCCGTCCGTGAAGATGGAACAGAGCCAAAGTTCAGGCAGCAGTTATATAATCTCTTGACTGTTCGGCTGCCAGACTGATAACCTACCTCCTCTAATGTTTACTGTGCTTTCCTAGAGCTTGAAAGAGCCAGAAGGAGCATGGACCGCCCCCATCCTCCTTTGCAGTGGCCATGCCCAGTATCACGGTAGGGTACAGCCTCCTGGGATTAACAGGCCTGGGCTGGGGTCCCACACTCCCCAGGGACAGCCCAGGGCAGGAAGCTCAGGGCTCTCCCCATATCCCTTCATGTGAATCTGGGAGTCAGCCAGCTCTGTGGGACTCTGGTTGGCTAGGGAAGGGCGGATCAGATAGAGGAGGGAGCCCTTAAGTTCCTGAGAAGCAGCATTTGGGAGGCTCAGGCCACAAGGAGGCTGACTGGGGTGGCCCACCTGGGAGCAAAGACAAAGCCAGGGGCCATGAACACCTCTCTTGCCAGCCTCAGCCCTTTCCCTGGACTGCCTCCATCTGTAGCCCTAATTTGGACAACTTCTCCCAAGCACCTTGTAGGCTCTGGGGGAAGCATTCTGGGAAAGCAGCAGGTAGAGGCTAGGGTGCCATACAGGAGCCACCGAGCACTCCAGGTCCGAGGTCCGGGCATGAGAGAGCCGGCAGTCCGGAATGGAACAGTGCTTTGCAGTTCTTGTCTAGGACAAGCAAAATCACAGCCTCTCTGGAGGTAATGACTCCAGGACTTTTGATGAGAGGGTGAGAATGGGCTTTCTTTCTCTTTCAGATCTTGGATGTTGGGCTACTTCAAGCCCCAAAGCAGGAGAGTAGAGGGGGTATGAGATGAGACCTCAGGAGGAGGAGGCCAGAGGGGCGGGCTGAAGGCAAGGTAAGTGAAGGCAGCCAGCAGACGAAGAAGCCAGCAGAGGCAAAAAAGCAGCGCGAGGAGCCACCCCGGGGGGACAGCTGCACCCACACGGCTGACTGGGGCCCGTGCCTGGCCGACGGCGTAATGGTGAGGATGCAGATGCAGGAAGAAGCCAGGAGAGGCAGGGGGATACTGGGGAGAAGGGGGTGAGGGAGATTCCCTGCCATGGGTGGCCACGGAGCATCCTCCTGGATGGGCTCCCTCACCCATGGGAACCAGGCGGACAGACGCCCATCATACAGCAGCCCAGTTTTGTGTTCCTTCCTTCCACTCCGGTTTGGGAAGTCCATGGATCTTTCTGCGGGCAGTCTCAAGACCAAACTTTGTCCCTTTCACTACCCAATAAAAACTTCACCCCACAGCTTTCATCTAAGGAGATGAAAGTGGCTTCTGTAGGCACAGAGTCAGCAGGTCCCTAGAAGAGCGGGGCGAAGCTTACCCTGGCCGGGCAGCCAGCTTTCAGGAAAGAGGGGGCCCTTGGCTTCAAGATGAAGGACTGTTGGGGTGGGTTCCCTTGTCCAGCCCTTCAAACCTGGGCTTCTCTGGATGAGGGCAGCCCCAGAAAGAGCTAACAGATCAGGCCTCAGCCCTGTCTTAGTTCTTCAGCAAGCAATTGCCTTTTTCCGGAGGCCATCACATGTCCCTGGGACACTATGCTAGCAGGCTCAGCAGCCCCAGCCAGCACTGAAGCCTCCAGCTGGAGCTCTCCTTCTTTCCTGGACATGTGGAGACCCTGAGAGTTTTAGGACTCATCACAGGCCAGTGAAGGACAGTGGCACCATGCTGGGCTGCCCTGGAGCCCTGCTATCCGCCTTGGGAGCTGTTGAGGTACCAAGCGGAGAGATGGGGGTGGGGGTTGGACTTCAACCTCCTGAGATTTATGAGGGTAATAGAAAGTGATGAGGAGCACTGCCAACTTCCCTTCCACTTCAAAGCTCAAGGGGAATACAGGAGTCTGGAGAAAGTGAAACCTGGATATTCTGTCAGGGCAGCTGTGGCAGGACGACCTGGGTGAGCAGCTGTGGGGTGGGTAAGATTGTGCCTTTTGGAGCATGGATGTCTGGAATGAGAGGGTCATTTTAGGAGAGAGCTGACCCTGGCTGTGGATAGGAGCAAGTGGGCCCACAGCCCTGGGTGCCCCTCAATGGCAAGAAACAGATCCAAGTACAGAGAAGAGCCTTTAGAGGCAGGGACACGTGCACACATATGCTCACACAGACATGCACACTCATGCACACTCACGCACAGAGGCCCACACAGCCATAAACACCCTGGCAGGCATAGGCTCCCATAAGTACACACAGACATGCCCAAGTCCAGACACGCAACACTCACACTGGCACATTTTCACACTCACACACACACACACACACACACACAAAGAGGCAACGCACAGGTAGACACGAGACCATGCACATTCGCAGACCCACAAAGTCACATATGCCCAGGCACCCACCAAAGAGATGTGTGCACAGGCACAGCACGTATCTGCATGTGCACAGGCCTCTGTAAGCGTGCGCGCGCACACACACACACACACACACACCCAGTAACTCAAACCCCAGCTAGCCCCCGAGCTATTTGAAAACCTCCTGGCCAGCTGCCCTGAGTCTTCCACTCTTTCACTCTGGGCTGCAGCCCAGGCCCTCCTCCCGCCCCACCCCGCCCCCAGTTGGTTGTATAAATTCCTTCCCTTTGCCCCTTCCTGACACAGCCTGCCTGCAACACCAGCACAGCCCCTGTCTCAGCTTACTCCTGGCAGGCCGGTCAGGACCAAAGCACACCAGCAAGCAGCATGGGTAAGGACGGGGCCTTCTGACAACCAAGTGCCACTGACCTCTGGCCCACAAAATAGGAAGTGATAGAAAAGCTGGGTCGGGGAAGCTGGTTAGGGGAGGGGGTGTTGAACTCTGCTCCACTGTCCCCACCCCCAACCCCTGCATTTCCCAGTTCAGCCAATGTTTCTAGAGCTGTAAAGAGAGGAGGGTAGAGGGACTGCTGGGATGGGTGGCCCTGGACCCCCACCTGGCTCCCTGCCTGTGGCCTGGAGGGCTCCAGTGGCCTTTTTTTTTTTTTTAAGATTTTTTTTTTTTTTTTATTTGACAGAGAGAGCACAAGCAGAGGGAGAGAGAGGGAGAAGCAGGTTCCCTGCTGAGCAAGGAGCCCGATGTGGGGCTCGATCCCAGGACCCCTGGGATCATGACCTGGGCTGAAGGCAGCCACTTAACCGACTGAGCCACCCAGGCATCCCTCCAGGGGCCTTTCTGCAGCTGGGAAAATCTGGTAGGGGTGGGGGAATACGTAAGGAGAACCTCTTGTCCCTGGCTGTCACCATAGGTGAAAGATAATCCTGATTCCAGCCTTGGGCCAGATTTTTACTCCAGGAGGTGGGAAACCCAGACCTTGGGGGCCAGATCACTCTCTAGCCATCCTGAACCCCCGATCAGTCTGAAAGGGGAATCAGAGCCCACACACTCTCACTGGGGCCCTGTTCCAGCGCCTCCCACCTTCCCAGTCCCAAAAGCCCCCCATTCCCCATCCTCAGGCTCCCAGATGTCGGGCTGAGGAGGAGTTCAGGTCTGCTTGGGAGTATCAAGGCCCCTGTCCCCTTGCATCTGACTCTTTCCTGGACTGGCAGAATGCCTAGTAGCCAGCCTGACATTGGGAAAACCCAGTGAGCTTCTCCTGGGTTCATCTCAAACCCAAAGGTGTTCAGAGATGGTGCTTGAGATGCTTAAGACAGAGAGGGTGTCAGGCAAGAACACTGATGCTCCTGGGGACCTAGGGTTGCACAGGGCCTGACTGACTCTAAGAAACGCTGAGGTGGGGGGTGGGGAGGGGAAGATGAGGCAGCCGGCAACACCTCCCTCATACCTCCTGTCTGTCTCTGTTCGGCTTTGCGGGTTTCCTGTCTCTGTCTTGATGTCTTGGAGTTTTGAATCTCCTTCTGTTCTGTGTCCAGCAACCTCCTTCCTCACCCCCTTGCCTCCCGTGCCAAGCCCTGGCATAAGTCTCCTTAGTTGCTTTGGCTGGCCCTCTCACCCTGCTCCACCCAGCCCAGCCCTCTCCCTGGGATTTCTGTCCCGCACTTCTGGCGCAGCCCTACCCGTATTTATATGGTGCTTCCCCTTTACAAAAGTACTTCTGAATACATTGGCTTATTTGACTTTCATAGTCACCTAGACAAGAAGGTGAGATATTATTACCCCCTTTTAGCCAAAGAAAAGGAGAAAGTGAAGAGAGCAGATACCAGATCTGGACTTTGAAACCAGGTTTCTGCACTCAAAAACGCCGTTGCCACATCCGGGCCTCCTAAGTCACTTGACTGCCCTGAGTAGGAGACCTGGTTTCCTGGCTGAGGGCCTGAGCCCAGGCACCAGTGGCGGCTCGACTCCGGCTCCTCCCGCCTCCCCACTTGCGGCCCCCCAGCTGTCAGGGCATTGGGCACACTGGCCGTGGGCCAGGGCAGGGAGGCAGCGCCCTGTCTGTGCTCTCCAGTCCGGGATTTCTTTCAGCCTGCAGCTCCCTCTGTGCTATTCCTCCCTTCTTCCTCCTGGTCAGACCCCAAAGCCTGATGCCTGAGGCCTGGTCCTCCTGGCGCTCCTTCTCGGCCACCGACTTTGGTGCCGTGGATCCCTGTGGCTTCTCTTGCCAGACTTCAGGGACAAGGAGGGCCACACCCTACAGCTCTGCCCGATGGGCCTCTGAGCCCTCCAGAGGTGGACCAAACACAGATAAAGGAAGTGGGGCTCACGGGGGGCGTGGGGGGGGGAGGAGCAGGGGTGGAGAAACTGGTCTAAGGACAGCCAGGTGGTAACAGCCCTATGGCCTCGAACTTCAGCCTCCTGTCCCTTCCTTCCCAGACCTTTGGCTAAGTCATCCAGGTTCTGGCCAGCAGCCTGGGGGCAGGACCCAGAGGGTAGAAAAACAAGAAGTGCCCCAGGCCCCGGGAGAGATACTGGCTGGGACGGAGCCAAGCAGGTACCACCCTCGCTAGCTGAGGGCAGCCCGGGCGGACTGGCTCCGGTCAGGTGCAGCGCTGCCCACTTGACGGCACCTTCCTGTTTACCTCTCCTAAAAGCCCGCTGCGGTGTTCTTAGTACCTTCTTTTTATACAGATGGTGTGGAAGTTGAGCTGGGAGGTTAAGTAACTTGCGCAAGCTCCCGTGGCTAGTCAGCGAGCCGCTGGGACTGGGGTGCAAGTCCAAGCGGTCGCTGCTGTGCCGCCCAGCTGTGCCGCGCTCACCCTTCGCCTGCCCTCCCCTGGGTCCTGCTTGAGTGTCTGTCCATCTTCAGGTCCTACCTGTGCAGCTCCTTCTGCCACAGGCACACATCACTCTGGTGATGGTGCCAGAGTTGACACAGGACCCGGGACAGCGTGTCTGCCTTGGCCAGTGGCGGGGTGTGTGTGGTGGCACGTGGGGAGGGAGCCTTCACCCTCCAGAGAGTGGTCCAACCAACCGTGCCCCGTTGTTTCCATAGCTACAAAATGCGGGAAGTGTGGACCCGGCTACCCTACCCCTCTGGAAGCCATGAAAGGTCAGTGTGCAACGTCTGAGAGCCCATGCCCCCGGAAAGGAATTCTACAGGCCAGTACCTTCGACTGATTCCACCGCTAGTGGGGGTGGGCAACCTGAGACCTCGGCCTCGGGCACATCCAGCACCGCCACTGTCACTCCTCTCCACCCTGCCATCCCCGCTAACTGCTTGCTACCCTTTAGGACCCAGGGAGGAGATTGTCTACCTGCCCTGTATTTACCGAAACACTGGCACTGAGGCCCCGGATTATCTGGCCACTGTGGACGTTGACCCCAAGTCTCCCCACTATTGCCAGGTGAGGTAGAGCTCGGGCACTGGAGGACCCTGAGACCCTTCCTCCGGCCCTGGCCCCAGCGATGCCCTTTCCCAGTCCAGCCTTCTTCGCCTTCCTTTGGGTATGGCTGTAAAGTGTGTTCTTTGCCCAAGGGCACCCCTGAGGTGCTGGGCAGCGATGAATTCCAGGCTGTGCTGTGCTGCCAAGCCCAAGTGGGTCCAGGGATCACAGAGGCATGGTCTGGGTGAGCACCACCCCTCCCCCTCTCCTGTCCTAGGTCATCCACCGGCTGCCCATGCCCAACCTGAAGGATGAGCTGCATCACTCGGGATGGAACACCTGCAGCAGCTGCTTCGGGGACAGCACCAAGTCACGCAACAAGCTGATGCTGCCCTGTATCATGTCTTCCCGTATCTACGTGGTGGATGTGGGCTCCGATCCCCGGGCCCCGAAGCTACACAAGGCATGCGCCCTGCCTTTTTTGCTCAGGGACCCTGGGGGTGGGCAATGGAGGTGTGGGAATAGTTTTTTGTTTGGGGGAGGGTTTTTGTTTTTGTTTTGTTTAATTTTTCCTCCCTTAGGCAGGAGCCTCCAATCCTTCCTTTCAACATGTTGTTGTGTACCATCTTTGTGCCACGCACTCACAGCTGGCTGCTGGTGATACAGAGTTAACACTGGCAATGGCCCGGGCGAGAAGCTTCTGGTCTCACAGGGCTCTGAGACAGGGGGAGAGAAGTCAGTGCTTTCTGCCTGCGGAATTAGCAGTCTCTCAGACTCTCCCTTGCTGCTCTGCAGAATTGAATCTCTGCCCTATTCCCACTGGGAACATTGTGTCCGTGTCTTGAACGAAAAGAAGGTGGGGTCAGCAAATAGGAGTAGGGGAATGGGGGAGTTGTGGTTGGGTCCCCCCAGCCCTGTAAGATTCTGATGCCATTCCTTATCCCCCTCCAGGTCATTGAGGCTGAGGACATCCATGCCAAGTGTGGCCTGGGCTACCTGCACACCAGCCACTGCCTGGCTAGTGGGGAGGTGATGATCAGCTCCCTGGGAGACCCCAAGGGCAATGGCAAAGGTACCTGCTGGCACTGTAGGCAGATCTGTGGGGGGAACAGATCCCAAGCTGGGGAAGGGATAGGTTGACCTTCCAGGGAGAATCAGAGGGCTAGGTCTCATCCAAAATTTAAACCATAGTCAATTAACTTCAGTAGTTTCAATTATTTCTATGAAGATGAAACCTGACTGATGAATTCACTTAAAAGTTATAGTAAGAACAGTCCGCTGTGGGGAATGTGGGCACAGACATGGCCCCAGAAAAGGCATACATTTGATGTCAGCCTTTAGGAATTCAGGAGCAAGTCTCACAGGCCTTGGGATCCTTCATCTTCACATTTGCTCTCTCATTTATGGTACGTTCAGGACTGACACAAAATGTCTAGTATGTGCCAGATGCAACCTCTGAGGGAGCTGCTACTAGGATCTCTGGTTTCCAGATGAGAAAGCAGGGCACAGACTGATAAATAACTTACCCAAAGTCATACAGCTAATGAGTTGTAGGGGTGGAACTCAAACCCAGGAATCTGAGTCCTAATCACTACACCGGGCTTCTTCCCTCTGAACCTTACCCATTTTGTCAGCGCCCTCCATCTGACGGCTTGGAGCAGACTATCAGCTCCTTTTTCTCAGAGATGGGAGAAACGTGACACTCCTAGATTTAATAACACTTCGGAGTTGACATCTAGTTGTATTTGCCAAGAATTGTCCAGGCTTCATAACATACCAAGCAAGGGAAAACATGTTGGGCATTCATGTTGAATGAAAAGTAAATATAATTTGTCTGCTCTAAAAAAAAAAAAAAAAATGTAGTGAGCAGAATGGAGCCTAGACTCTGGGAGGAACCCCACAGAGAGTGGGAGGCTGGGCGAGAGAAGCACGGGGTGCTGAGTCCCAGGCTCTTGGCTCAAGGGAACAGAAAACTCCCCCTGTGGTCTGGAGAGGACAGGGATGAAATTGATGGCGGTAGGGGCACCAGAGTGAGTCCCCACCTTCCATCCGGTCCTCTGGGTGGGGACCCTTTGGACACCTGAATCAAAGGAGCTGGCAAACCCAGTGGGAGGAAGGGGCACCAGGCAATGGACTTGGAGCCTCTTGGACATGCCTGGGAGTGAGGGCTGGGTGAGGGTAGCAGCTCTGTTACCTCTACCTGCCACTTTACTTCCTTCCCTGCTCAGGGGGTTTCGTGCTGCTGGATGGAGAGACGTTCGAGGTGAAGGGGACGTGGGAACAGCCTGGGGGAGCCGCACCTATGGGCTATGACTTCTGGTACCAGCCTCGACACAATGTCATGATCAGCACTGAATGGGCGGCTCCCAATGTCTTTGGAGATGGCTTCAACCCTGCTGATGTAGAGGCAGGTGAGAATCCCCCCACACAGGCCAGCAGGAGCCTGGGCACGCATGCCACTCCTCTCTGCTTGAAAACCCCTCTCCGGGCCTCTTACCCCCCCTCCTGTGAACCCGACTCTTGGGGTGCTGGTATAGGAGTGTGCTGAGTATTCTGACTTGCTCAAGCGTCTTTCTAATCCCTCCCACCGGTTTTTCAACCTTCTGCACGGGGCTGTGCCCTGGCTTTTGCCCACCACCCCCTGCCCGGATCCTGAGCCCATCCTCTGGCCCCGTCCCCATGCCAGGGCTATATGGAAGCCACATACACGTGTGGGACTGGCAGCGCCACAAGATCGTGCAGACCCTGCCTCTACAGGATGGGCTCATCCCCCTGGAGGTCCGCTTCCTGCACAACCCCGACGCGGCCCAGGGCTTCGTGGGCTGTGCCCTCAGCTCCACCATCCAGCGCTTCTACAAGAATCAGGTGACCTGTGTCCTCTGGCCCTCTCCTCCCAGCAGTCCGAGCCTGTACCTCTGCCAGGCTTCCACAGCCACGAGGCACCCCTCTCTCTAGGCGTGACCCAGGCCTCTCGGCCTGGATCCACTAGCCCAACTTCTCCAGGAACAAAATCCAAGGCCACTTGTTCTCTCTCTCTTCTCTCCTCAACCCTAAATTCCCACATATTCATTCAAAAAGTATGTGTGAGCTTCTACAGTAGGCACTGTGCTAGGTGCTGGGAATGCAGACGTCATCCCTACCTTAAGGGGTTTGCATCGGACTTAGACCCCGGTGGCAAGAAGGCCCTGCCTTGGCTGGCTCCCCGTAGACAGTAGGGCCTGGAGAGACCCACATCCGACCCCAGCCCCCCGATCTCACAAGCTCACCTCTCTGCCTCCCAACCCCACCCCCAGGGAGGTACATGGTCAGTGGAGAAGGTGATCCAGGTGCCCCCCAAGAAGGTGAAGGGCTGGCTGCTGCCTGAAATGCCAGGTGAGTGCCTGGCTCGGGGGCGGGGGGGGGCTTTCAAATGGGGCTTCCTGGCCGGGGGACAAGAGTCCTTAAAGCCTCTGAACCACACTCCCACCCCAGGCCTGATCACAGACATCCTGCTGTCTCTGGATGACCGCTTCCTCTACTTCAGCAACTGGCTGCACGGGGACCTGCGACAGTATGACATCTCTGACCCGCAAAGGCCCCGCCTCACGGGACAGGTGGGGCGCCAACAGAATGGGGAGCAAGAAGGAGGGAGGAAAAAGAAGTCTGGGGGTGAGGGAGAGGGTATGAAGTGGCTGGGGGGTGATAAAGGAGGTGCAGGAATAGCAAAACTGGAGGCTGAGGGATGGTGCAGCCCGGGACTGGGGGAGCCATGGCTATACGTGGGGAAAGTGAGGCAAGCTGCTCTTCCTGCAATGTCCTCACTTCCCACCATTGTCCTCCTTTACGCTCTGTATCTCCCCACCCAGCTCTTCCTTGGGGGCAGCATTGTTAAGGGAGGGCCCGTGCAAGTGTTGAAGGACCAAGAGCTAAAATCCCAGCCAGAGCCCCTGGTGGTCAAGGTGAGGATTTACCTCCCCTCCTCCTCCCGTTACCTCGCAGCGCCCCGTCCAGCTCATGGGACCCTCAGATCCATGCTGGAGAAGTATGGGGTGGGGGGCATACTCCATGATCCCCCTCCAAGGACCCATATGTTATTACCATGGGACTGACCCCCCTGGTTTTCCCAAGGGGAAACGGGTACCTGGAGGCCCTCAGATGATCCAGCTTAGCCTAGACGGGAAGCGTCTATACGTCACCACATCGCTGTACAGTGCCTGGGACAAGCAGTTTTACCCTGATCTCATCAGGTGAGAAGCAGACCGCCTGGGCTTCCCTCCCTAGCCCTCCTCTCCCAGAAGAGTCTGCCTTTCTGAAGACTCCTTGGGCACCCCCACCTGCTTCCACCCTACAGGCCCTGCTCCTTCCCTAGGACCTACCCCTGCATCACAGACTCTTGGGGGAAGGGGATGGCCACTTCTGACCTCTCTTTTCCCCTCCCTGTGTCCACCAGGGAAGGCTCCGTCATGCTGCAGATTGATGTAGACACAATAAAGGGAGGTCTGAAGTTGAACCCCAACTTCCTCGTGGACTTTGGGAAGGAGCCCCTAGGCCCAGCCCTGGCCCATGAACTCCGCTACCCTGGGGGTGACTGCAGTTCTGACATTTGGCTCTGAAGTCCACTCCTGGTAGCCACTCCATATCTGAGCCCTCACTTATGCAGAGACATGGCTACGCTCTGCTCCCTCTTGGCCCCCAACCCTTGGCATTGTCCCACCAAAGCCAACCTGAGGCTGTTGGAATATACTGAGTAGTGTCTTCATTTACAGATCACTGTTGCATGTTGCTCACTGGCTGCTTGTACATGAGCTATGAGCTCTTGGAAATTACTTTACCAAGAAATAAACTGGTGAACCTATTCCTCAGATCACCTCATCTTTGGGGGCACAGGGTCTATGACTTCCCTTCTGCTGACCCTTTGTATCTTGCATGGGAAAGTTCTGAAGAGTACTCCACGGGAGTGACTAGTTCATACCAGTGATGACAACATGATACTAAGGGTGCCCAAATCTCACTTTTATGGCCAGACAGAATGTGAAGATTTTGGAGGTGGTTGTCACAAGGAGACCTGGGAGGAGAGAGTGTCAATTGGTGTTCCTAAACTTTATTATTTTTTAAATCCATGCTTTCTTTTAATGAATGTAAAATCTCACCCACAACCCCCAAGAGAGTGTAGTGTGCCTCCCCACACACAAGGGACACCCCAGACCCCTGACGTGGATGGTGCAATCTGCTGGTGAGAGTACTAGGAGAACACAGAGTTGTCAGGAGGTTAGGTGTGTCACCTCCCATCTGGAAGACAGGACCATGACCAAGCAGGAGGGCCGGGAACATCAAGGTGAACCAACCCAACAGACCAGGCCTGGCTCTCTTGTCTCCATACCAGGATGGTGCCTTAGGCCCTTGCCCAAAGCAGAGATGTCTCCTTTCTCTGCACTAGGTCTTTCATTTTTTATGAAAGGAATGAGGCAGGAGTTTCAGGAACCTAAGAGACAAAAGCTAGGCAGCAATTCTACTGACTCCTTAACTCCTTACCCAAGACGATACCAAGCAACATTCAGGTATCAGCCTACATTCTTCTCTGCCTTCCATAAAGGTGTATTGTTTTAATTAATTATTAATTAATTAAATTTAAAAAGGTGTCCTGTTTTAAACATTGGATCAGTCTAGGACTCCCAAGATGGCAGTCCCGGGGCACCCCAAGAATATAACACACTTTTCTCCTTTGGGGGTCTCTAAATATGCTCCTTGACAGATCTACCTCAACTTAGTCCTGATTCCATCCCCCTGCCTTTCCTGTCATCTGGGCCAGGTTACCGTATCCTTTGGAAAGCCTCCTTTACTGACTCCCCAGGGTAGGAGCCTCCAGCACTTAACCTCAGCATGCACATATGTCACATTATATTGAAACTCCCTGTTTATTCCCAGCACCTGGCTTACATCTTAGCACATAGTATGCTTTAAGGAATAACTGAACATAAAGGAGGTGTGTGGGATGAGTGAGTTACAGGGAGCCTTGGGATTTAGTGGGTCTAGCCAGATGTTTCTCTCCTAGATTTCTTCCCTGTCCTTTTCAATAACCAAACTGCTTCAGAAAGAGAAAGAATCGTATAGTTCTACATCACTTCTAAATATTTCTAAAAGCTTAAAATTCCATTCAACAAAATGAACCTCAAATACTTACCATACCAGAAAGCAAGGAAACTATGAAGACTCCAGCGGTTATGTCTAAAGGACATGGGACATATCTGACAAAAGACTGATATCTAGACCACACGAAAAACTCTCAAAATTCAACAGTAAAAAAAAATTCCAATTTGAAAATGGGCAAAACACATGAACAGACATTTCACCAAAAAGGATGTAAAGATGGCAAATAAGCACATGAAAAGATAACCAACATCATTAGCTATTAGGGAAATGTAAATTAAAAACATGGGATACCACTATACACCTATCAGGATGGCTATAACAGAAAATCGTGATAGTACAAAATGTTGGCAAATGAGGAAATACTGGATCATTCATACATTGCTCCACGCGTTCCAGCCACTCTGGAAAATACATTGGCAATTCCTTATGAAGACCAAACATGCAGCGGGGAGCTAAGATGGCGGCACAGTAGGAAGGCCCTAGGCTTGCCTTGTCCCCTGAACACAGCTAGATAACTATCCAGTCGTTCTGAATACCTAAGAAATGGACCTGAGGATGGCAGAACAAACTGAGCAGCTAGAGGGACAGAAGAGGCCACATCAAGGAAGAAGCAAGCGAAGTCATATTAAAAGACAAAATAAACCTTAGGCTTGAGCAAAAAAACCCAAAAAACAAAAAGGACCAAACATGTACTTACATGACCCAGCAATTAACTTCTGGGCATATATCCCAGAAAATTGAAAATGTATGTTCACACAAAAACCTGTATACAGTTGTTCACACCAGCTTTACTCATAATAGCCCCAAACTGTAAACCAACCAAATGTCTTCCAGTGGATTAATGGTTAAACTGCTATATCCATACCATGGACTATAATACTCAGCAATAAAGAGGAATTAACTATTGGTACACACAACAATCTGGGTGGATCTCAAGGGAATTATGCTGAGTGGGGGAAAAAGCCAGTCTCAAAAGGCTACATACAGTATGATTCAATTTATATAACATTCATGAAATAACAAAAGTATAGATTTGGAGGGGCACCTGGGTAGCCCCTCCCCCTCTCTAAAATTAATAAATAAAAATCTCTTTTTAAAAAATGTATGCAATTGGAGAACAGGTTAGTGGTTGCCAGGGCTTAAGGATGGGACTGGAGGGGGGTGGCTATAAAAGAGTACACAGGGGATTCTTGTAGGGATGACACTGTTGTGTATCTTGACTGTCACGATGGTTACACAAATCTACAGTATGATAAAAAATTGTATGATAAATACACATACACATACATGTAAATGAGTATATGTAAAGCTGGTGAAACATGAGTAAATTTGGTGAGTTGTATCAATGTCAGTCAGTTTCCTGGTTCTGATATTGTGCTATGGTTATGCAAGGTGCACCATGAGGGCAAACTGGGTGAAGGGTACATGAGCTCTCTCTGTATTATTTCTTGCAACTACATGTGAATCCACAATTATCTCAAAAGAAAAAAATAACACATAAGTCAACTTGAAGGAGCTTCCACTGGCCAAAGATAGAACAATTTGAGTTTCAAAAAGAACAATAATCGAAGTAGACTGAAATATACCAACTATAATAAAATCCAGAAGTTCATGAAAACACACACAAAACCCTAATTGGTCATGTTTGAAAGATGCTAGAAAACCATTTCATTATTCTGAAAACTGGAGAACAAAGAGAAGGAATCAAGTATTTATCTTGATTTTCTTCAGGAACTTGCCTTGGGATAACCAAATAGTTGATGAGGAAAAGTTTTTTGTAGAATTTCAGCTAGTACATTTAGAAGGAATGATAGAATTTGAATAACACAATAACTTATTGTGTTATTAACAATAAAATTAACAAACAATAATTTGTAACCTCCAGTGACAAATGGACCTAAGCAATGATCATCAGTGTCTGCTAAAACCATTAAATGAAACACTAAAATGAAATTTTATGATGGATAGAGCTGACGGACAAAACCTGAACACACTGATCAGTCTCCATTACAAAAAGAGAGATGACCAGGCATTATGTGCCACCTATGCAGTATTCTTGCCAAAAAATCAAAGTGAATCTGACCAAGCCTCTAGATCTCACATTCAGTTTCCAGGGAACACAGGAGACAGAAGAACAAGTTTTAAAAATTTAAGAACACTGAAAAGATACAATCATAAAAATGAAGAATGTGGGAAACTCTATATAGCAAATGACCTGTTTCCTCAATGAATAAATTGAAAGAGAGAGGGTATAGATTAGGAAGATTTAAGAAACACAGCAACCAAAACTAAATGCGATGCAATGTGTGGACCTTGATACTGATGCAAACATAACAGAAAATACATTTTTTTAAAGATTTTATTTATTTATTTGAGAGAGAGAGAATGAGAGATAGAGAGCACGAGAGGGAAGAGGGTCAGAGGGAGAAGCAGACTCCCCGCCGAGCAGGGAGCCCGATGCGGGACTCGATCCTGGGACTCCAGGATCATGACCTGGGCTGAAAGCAGTCGCTTAACCAACTGAGCCACCCAGGCGCCCGGAAATGATAAATATTTTTAAAAGACTGGCAAGAAAGAAAGAAAGAAAGAGAGAAAGAGGGCGCCTGGGTGGCTCAGTTGGTTAAGCAACTGCCTTCGGCTCAGGTCATGATCCTGGAGTCCCGGGATCGAGTCCCACATCGGGCTCCCTGCTCAGCAGGGAGTCTGCTTCTCCCTCTGACCCTCTTCCCTCTTGTGCTGTCTCTTTCTCTCTCTCTCAAATAAATAAATAAAATCTAAAAGAAAGAGAGAAAGAAAGAAAGAAAGAAAGAGAGAAAGAAAGAGAAAGAAAGAAAGAAAAAGACCAGAAAAAGAAAAGACCGGCCATCCATTTGGAAAACAAACAAATTAAATTAGAACCTATGGAAAAAACTATTGATTGGCTGAACAACCATTCCTAAAACTCTTTTCCCTTGCTCACCAGAAGTAACTTATATCTTTATTATTTTTTAAAAGAGTTTACTTATTTATTCATGAGAGACAGAGAGAGAGAGAGAGAGAGAGAGGCAGAGGGAGAAGCAGGCTCCCAAGGAGCAGGGAGCCCGATGCAGGACTCGATCCCAGGACCCTGGGATCATGACCTGAGCCGAAGGCAGACGCCTAACCATCTGAGCCACCCAGGAGCCCAGAAGTAACTTATATCTTTAATCTTATGGTAATAATTCTATTACTTTTACTTTTCACCACATACGTATTTATCCATAAACAATATATTGTTCAGTTTTGCCTGTCATTAAATATCTGTAAATTGCATTGCACTGTATGTTTTCTTCTGTTATAGTTCCTTCACTGTTTCTAAAGTTCATCTGTGTAGATGCATGTAGCTGTGGCTCATTCATTCCCACTGCCCTATGACATTCCATCATATAAATATACAACTTATCACTCTGCTTGCTAATGCAAACAGTGAGACTATAAACCTTACTGTCTCTGTCTTTAGGGCATGTCTGTAGGAGTAGGATTGTTGAATCATAGATATTCACATATTCAACATTATCAAGTAATTCCAAACTCTTTTCCAAAATTATAACAAATTGCATCCCCACCAGCAGTGAGTGAGGAGGGCTCCTGTTGGCTCACAGCCCTGTCAGCTCTCAGCATTGCCAGACTTTGTAATTGTTGCCAATTTAGTGGGTCTGAAATGGTATCTTGTGGTTTTAATTTGCATTTTCTTGATTACTATAGCGAGAGAACAACTTTTCATATGTTTGTGAGCCATTTCTGCTTCTTGTATGAAGTTCCTGTTGATTTTCTCTGCCCATTTTTCTTTTTTTTAATTTTTTTTTTTTTTACAGATTTTATTTATTTGTTTGGCAGAGAGAGCACAAGTAGGCAGAGAGGCAGGCAGAGGGAGAGGGAGAAGCAGGCTCCCCGCTGAGCAGGGAGCCCAACGCGGGACTCTATCCCAGGACCCTGGGATCATGACCCAAGCCGAAGGCAGCCACTTAACCCACTGAGCCACCCAGGCGCCCCTCTCTGCCCATTTTTCTATTTGGGTGTTTATCTTTTCATTTGTAGAAGGCGTTTATAAATTTCTGATGATAACCCTTTGTTGTGTCTTGAAATATCTTCTCCCAATTTGTGGCTTGATTTTACATTCTTTTCATAGTGGTTTTTAAAATAAATTTAGGTTGACTGAGCTGCTCTGCAAGTCACCATGCCGCGTGGAAGCCGGAGCCGCACCTCCCGCACGGCCTCGCCGGCCAGCCGGGCACCTCAGATGAGAGCAGCGCCTAGACCAGCGCCGGCAGCTCAGCCTCTGGCAGCGGCTCCACCAGCGGCTGTCGGCTCACCTGCTGCTGCGCCCCGGCAGCCAGGGCTCATGGCCCAGATGGCAACCACTGCAGCTGGCGTGGCTGTGGGCTCTGCTGTCAGGCACACGATAGGTCATGCCATCACTGGGGGCTTCAGTGGAGGAGGCAATGCTGAGCCTTCAAGGCCTGACATCACTTACCAGGAGCCTCAGGGAACCCAGCCAGCATACCAGGAGCAGCAGCAGTTTGGCCCATGCCACCATGAGATGAAACAGTTTCTGGAGTGTGCCCAGAACCAGGGTGACCTGAAGCTTTGTGAAGGTTTCAGCGAGGTGCTGAAACAGTGCAGATTTGCAAATGGATTAGCCTAATCAAGAAGTTCAAATTGAAGATATGGAAAATCATCTCTCATAACCAAGTTAATTTAGCATAAAAATATAATTGATGGTGAATATATAAAGTGTTGGAAAACCACCAGTTAAGCTTCTCCTTCATCATTAAATACAGATTTCTGCAGAATTGGAATGAAAATGGTTGTTCTGTTCATTGAGATGGTTTGAATTTGGGGTTGGGCAGATATTGGTGTGCCTCCTTAAATCACCTTTTGTGATGTTCTCATTTGTGAATTAGAATAAAGTGATTTTCCCCCCAAAAATAAAATAAAATAAAATAAATTTAGGTTTTTAATATTAATTATCTAAATTTATCAATATTGTCTTTTATGGTTTGCTTTCTCATGTTTAAGAATTCACTCCCAATAGCAGTAGGCACTGTACAATGGTGTCCAGAGCATATTCTGATCCAGATAGCCTAGGTTCAGATCTTGGCTCCCTCACTTACTGTGCAACACTGGGCAAATTATTAACCTCTCAATGCCTTAGTCTTCTCATCTGTAAAATAGGGATAATCACAGTACCTATCTGATAGAGTTGCTAAGAGATAAAGTGGCAACATATGTGAGGCCTTTAGAGAAATCCTCAGCGCATATTAAGCTCTAGATAAATACTTGCTGTTATTGTGGTGATGCTAATCAGATCATTTTTATTGTTACTTCTCAGGGCAAGGTACATCATACCTTATTCGATGCTGCATTCCCCGTTCTTAACACAATCCCTGGCATAAGTGAATACTTGCCTGTTTTTCCCATCTTAAGCCTTTTGCCCCATGCAACCTCACCTTCTTACAGTGCTGTCAAAATAATCTCCCTTACATACCTATGATACTTTTTCTCCCTTTCCTGAAGTTTCCATTTATTCCCTGCCACCTGCAAATTCCTAAGCCAGCATAATTTACCCCAATCTCTTTTTCTAATCAAAGTGCCCTATATCTCCCTTCATACCAAACAGTGGTGGTTGGGGGTATCTTTCTATCAGTCTATACCCATATTTGTATATGAGTGTCTACAAGTATGTATACACAGTCTAGAGCAGTGTTCAAGAAAATGGGCTCTGAAGGCAGACTGCCTGTCTTTGGATCCTGATTCCAGCGCTCCTACATACATAACTGTAGACAAGTCCCTTCACTTCTCCGAATCTCAATTTCTTTGCCTATAAAACAGAGACAACCTACTTCAAAGAGCTGCCATGAGCATTAAATGATAGAATTTAATGTGTTTAGAATTCGGGATGGTGTCTAGCACACAGAAAACACCAATAAATTTTTGCTGTTATTAGAAAACCTTCTTGCCAGTATATCCTTATTCCCTCAAACTCTGCAATTCCTTAGGTTCTTCCCGTAGCCACAGAAGCATAGGTTATTGGGGGCTATAAAGGGCAAAGGTGACCAGATCAGGCAGTACTGCTTGTCCTCTTTACAAAAGTACACTGATGATGAGACTAGAGAATGTATTAGAATCAGGACTGCAAATAGAGTTTTAGGTGTAAGGTATCTGTTGTGCAAAACAAAATACATCCATTCAAAAGAATGTTAACCTGCAGTCCCTGACCTCAGAAATTAGATGTGGAACTTGGTCTGCATGTGCGTTTTTCACGGCAAAGGATTCATTGCTTTCATTTGATTCATGACCTAAAAACATCCTTAACGAAAAGGGTTAAGAACCATGACCTATACAGTACAAAGTTCTATGAGAGTAAAGAGTTCCTGTGGGTATCCAGCACCCCCTGGGGGTGTCAGTCAAAATTCCAATGTTCGCTGAGTGCAGAACTATGGGGATGCAGATACATTAGCAACTCTTTGGAAGGAAATAAAGTACCCACGGGAAACCCAGGAACGCTTGGCATTTTAACTAAACGTGGTACAGCTGCGGAGGTTTTGAGGCCTCCATCAGAGAGGAACGTGAGCCTGTGTTTGCAGATTTGTTGTGGAGTGCCTGTATGCTGTGTTGAGGGCGGGGGTCGGGGATGGGGTGCTCAATTTGTTTTTCATCAAAAGGAGGTTATGTGGGCTTACAGCGAACCTCCATCACTACTACCCATAATTTTCTAGCTTTTTTTCTTTTAATTATCCATTGATTCTTTTCTTCCACTGGCTCTGACGACCGAAGGCAAAACTGAAACCCGGAAGGAGAGGGCAAAGGAAAAGAAAGCTCCAAAGGGAGCCCAGCGCCCGGTCTTTCGTCCTGCGGTCCCTTTAAGAGAAGAATCTCTTGGGACCGGCAGTCCCAACCGACCCCAGTTTTAACCGAAACCTAACCCGGACTTCCCCCTCTTCGCTCAAATAAGACCAACTTTGGATTTTCCCTCCCCTATTGTCCAATCAGAATCTGTTACCAGGCAGACTCTACCCGCAGGCGGTGCGAGCCCGGCGCCTCCTGTCTCCGGGTGGCAGCAACGACCAATGAGAGAGCAGGTCGTCCGAGTATCTAGGCAGATCGGGGCTGTTCCAGCCATTCAGAAAAAAGAAAATAAAGCAACGCACGAGCCCGCTGGGCCAGGACCGTGGGGCTGGGCTGGAGTGAAGGTGGCTACGAGGTAGTTTCTCTTTCTCCCTTACCTTTATTGTTGCTTGTGTTGGAAGGCGACTGTTCAAAGGTAGGGAGGGGGCAGTATGAGTTGGGAGGAGAGCAGAACAAGATTTTGGCTGTATTTTCAAAGCTCCTTCACCCATGTGCACGTGCCCCGAATCTGGGACCCCGTTCCCCCAACCGGGTTTCCTATGCCCAGCCCAGGAGTTCGCCACCCTGAACCCCCCACCTTGCAGCAACGCGGGATTGAATGCAGAGGGAAGGGAGGGAGGTGGGGGTGCGCCTCTGGATGGGAGGTTGAGGGAGATGACGTAGGGACTGGCGACGTGGGGAGGGGGAAGCCGCGGGGGAAGCCGTGGCGAGATTAAGTAATGAGAACTTGGGCCCAGTGTTTTCCAAGGCTGGAAGGGCAGAATATGTTCGTATCCTTTCTGACCTCCCAGGAAAATTAAGGCGTGAGGAGTCGCTTAGAGAATTGGAGAACTTTATTTTGTGGTTGTTAGTGTTTTTATTTTTGTTTTTTTTTTTTTAAGGGGAGGAGGGCAGTACGGAATCAGAGGCAGAAATGGACATGTCTAACGTCGATTTCCAGTCCCCCTATCCCTTCCTTTACAGTTTTCCGTATTTAGGAGACTGCAAAAAGGTGGGGCAGATAGAATGGATATGGCAAAGATCTCTTTGGGTATATGTGGGCCTGGAGAAGTAATGGGATAATTCCTAATTTTTGGAGAAGGCAAGTGGTGAAAAAAAGACCACTGAGGAAATTCAGAGGCTTTCTTTCTGTTTCTCTGTGTTTCTGGGTAGGGAGATGAGGAGTGCCCGGGGGCCTCCAGGGAAAGGGAGGTTAAATCTTCATGCCTGGTCTCTCAGCTCTAGCCCTCATGCCGGGATGGCCGAAGATGAGCCCGATGCTAAGAGCCCGAAGACTGGGGGAAGGGCCCCCTCAGGTAGTGCTGAGGCGGGAGAACCCACCACCCTTCTTCAGAGGCTCCGAGGTACCATTTCGTAAGTACTCATCACCACCTCCAAACCTTGCTCCAGAACTGTAGCACTTCACTTCCTCTGTAGATGAACTGCCTCTCCCTGAGCAAGTGCATCTGAACATGGGGAGGTTCTTCATCATGGGAGCAGTTGCTGAGCACCCCTTAAGCATCTCATCCCTCTTCCTCTCCCTAACAGTAAGACACTAGAGAAAATCTTGTGTGTGACCTCCAGCTTTCTCCTCTTTTCCACAGCAAGGCCGTGCAGAACAAAGTCGAGGGAATCCTGGTAAGTATTTTCGGGAAGAGGGCAATAGAGAGGTGGAATTGGTGGGGGATGAGGGTAATGAAGATATGCATAACTGAAAGCTTTATGTGGGAGAGGCAGTACTGTCTTCCCTGTCAGAAGATAATTGGCTTTGCAACTTGTTGCCAGATTGACCTTGGGCATCTTACTTCATCTCTCTGTGACCTGTCGCGTAGACGCTCAGTAGGAATAATGTCAAAGCCGATCCCCTCCACTCCCCCTCTCACCACAGTAGCTCACAAGGGCACTCCTCAGAGCACAGTGAACACCCAGCCCCAAATCATTTCTAAGGTCCTTTTCAGTCTGACAGTCTCTAAGGCAGCTAGACTTTGGGGGAAGGATCAGAAGATCCTGTCTTGCGTCCTTCTTGGCCTTATTTTTTCTCCTGCCTCTCTGTTCCTCCCTACCTCAGCAAGATGTACAGAAATTCTCAGACAACGACAAGCTGTATCTCTACCTTCAGCTTCCCTCAGGGCCCAGTACTGGAGACAAAAGGTAGGTTTGGTGCTAGAGTTTAAGATATCAGAGGTTCTGGTTCTTAAAGGAAAGCTCACTGGGATGGGGCTGGGTGAATTGGAATACTCATAACAGCTGTCCTTGATGAGAAGAATAGTCCCTGTCCTGCCCCAGTTTACCAGGAAAAGCTGGATTCTGGGTGATTTGGTCCAGCACTGCTGAAGCAGTAGTCTGGATAGAACCACAGCAACTTGAGGATCTTAGTAAGGCTTGTCCCTTTTACTTCTCTTGCAGCTCAGAGCCAAGTACACTCAGCAATGAGGAGTACATGTATGCCTATAGGTGGATCCGTAACCACCTAGAAGAGCATACTGACACCTGTTTGCCAAAGCAAAGTGTTTATGATGCCTATCGGTGGGTGAATGGGGCGGGAGGGGGGTGGTGTGGGTTGGCGGGCATAGGACTACCCCCTCACCCCTGGAGAGCTCCCTGCCTTGATAGAGCCTGACTTCTTAAAGGGTGCCAGGGACCCTCGGAATCTAACCATGACCTCCTTCTCTGAGTGTCTTCCCACTCTGCCCCCTCCCCGCCAGGAAGTACTGTGAGAGCCTCGCCTGTTGCCGCCCACTCAGCACAGCCAACTTTGGCAAAATCATCAGAGAGATCTTCCCTGACATCAAGGCCCGAAGGCTTGGTGGCCGGGGCCAGTCCAAGTATCCTTGAATGGAGAGGTTGGGGTTGGAGGACCCCGGGAGTAAAACTTAGGGTGTGGAGGGCCAGGAGTGGAAACAGCCTAACCTTCCCATGGGGCTCGGAGATCCCCACCGTTGGCTGCTCTTTAACTTGCCTCAGATATTGCTACAGTGGCATACGAAGGAAGACCTTGGTATCTATGCCCCCCTTGCCTGGACTTGACCTGAAGGGCTCTGACAGTGTAAGTAACAACCAACCCTCCGATTGCACTCTTCTCTCCAAGGTGGAGGGCTGACATAGCCTACGTCATTCTGCACATAGCTTCTAGGTATATAGGATATGCCCTTCTACCTACCTTATGGCTCAGGCAGAGGATGAAGAGAATTTGTGGGTTTCTGGGATGAGTTATCCCATCTCCAGTCTGGTCTTAACTGTGGCTGACACAGGTGTCTGAGAGGGGCCAAGGGTTCTTCAGTTTGGAGTGTGACTGGGCATGTGTTTCCCCACTGCAGCCGGAAATGGGCCCAGAAGTAACCCCAGCACCTCGGGATGAGCTGGTGGAGGCAGCCTGTGCTCTGACCTGTGACTGGGCAGAACGAATCCTGAAACGGTCCTTCAGTTCCATCGTTGAGGTCGCCCGCTTCCTGCTGCAGCAGCATCTCATCTCTGCCCGATCTGCACATGCCCACGTGCTCAAGGCGATGGGGCTCGCTGGTGGGTGGAGACTCTCTCAGGCCCCAAAAAACTCTCAGCCACTTTCAGCTTCATAGGCCCTCCCGCCTACTAGGACAGAGACACCTTGCATTTGTCTTCTATTCCTGGTGCCCCTCGTAGGGCATTAGGACACGCTTTAGACCACTTTCTTCCCCCTTCTGCACCAGTCAGTCAGAGTCACCTCACGTGGCCATTGTTTCCTCCTCACCCTCGCCTTTTACCTTTTCTGGCACCTCTGCAGAAGACGATGAACATGCCCCTCGGGAGCGGTCATCTAAATCCAAGAATGGTGTAGAGAGCCTAGAAGGTGGAGCCCATAAGAAACCAGAGAGACCAGCCCAGGTGAGGAAGTTGATGCCCCCCCACCCCCCGCCCCGACCTTGCTGCCCTGGGCTGGGGGCTTAGTATCCCCTTTCCCATTATCTTCTCACCCTCCTGTGTCTGTGTTTGCTCCGATGTCCGATCTTCCCACTTACTGTGTCCTCTCTTCACCTTTTAGCCTCCTAAGGAGCTGGAAGCCCGGGCTGGAGGTGGCCCCCCTGCACGTGGCGAGCGGAAGAAGAGTGTAGTGGAGAGCCCAGCCCCAGCAGCCAATAACCCACAGGTTAATGCCCTGGTGGCCCGGCTGCCTCTGCTCCTTCCCCGGGCCCCTCGCTCACTTATTCCGCCAATCCGAGTCTCTCCACCCATCCTGGCCCCCAAGCTTTCTTCAGGCCTGAAAGTGGCTACACTGCCTCTGCCCAGTAGGGCTGGGGGACCCCAGGCAGCTATGCCCATCATTAACATGATCTTACCAACTGTTCCTGCTTTGTCTGGACCCGGACCCGGACCCGGGCCTGGGCAAGCCCTGCCTGGGGCGCTCACTCAGCCGCAGGGCACAGAGAACAGGGAAGTAGGCATAGGTGGTGACCCGGGACCCCATGACAAGGGTGTCAAGAGGACAGCAGAAGTACCTGTGAGTGAGGCCATTGGGCAGGATCCACCTGCTAAAGCAGCAAAGCAGGATATAGAGGATACAGGAAGTGATGCCAAAAGAAAACGGGGGCGCCCTCGAAAAAAATCAGGTGGAAGTAAGGAAAGGACCTCTCCCCCTGACAAGTCAGCACCTGCCATGGACTCTGCCCAGTCCCCAAGGTTACCACGGGAGACGTGGGCCTCTGGAGGGGAAAGCAACTCAGCTGGAGGGTCAGGGAAGCCAGGACCAGTGGGAGAGGCTGAGAAGGGGATGGTGCTTGCCCAGGGTCAGGAAGATGGTGCTGTTTCCAGAGGAGGAAGGGGCCCCAGTTCCCGGCATGCCAAAGAAGCAGAAGATAAAATTCCTCTGGTCACCTCAAAAGTGAGTGTCATCAAGGGCAGTAGAAGCCAAAAGGAAGCTCTTCATTTGGTAAAGGGAGAGGTAGACACCGCAGCGCAGGGTAATAAAGACTTAAAGGGGCATGTGCTTCAAAATTCCTTATTCCACGAGGGGAAAGACCCCAAAGCAACACCCCCATGATAGGTAATGTGGGGAGGAGTGTTTATATCCACATTAACTCTACCTGCCTAGTAGAGGCCCCTCTGCACTTGCTTCTCATTTGGCTCTTCTTTTCCTAAGGGAATTCATTTTCCTGTACAGACAGCTGAGGCACCCTGTGTCTTACACAGTGTCCGGCTCCTGCCTCTGACCTTTCCAGCTCAGTACCCTTGGCTTTAGCATCACTGATAAATCTGTCATGACTGTCTTACCTGGATCTCTGTGCTATCCTGCAGGAAGATAGGGATGGAGTAAGTATGATGAATGTATAGGCTAGGAATCTTTTGGTTTTAAATCGTAAAAAAAAAAAAAAAAACAACTAACTCAAACTGGCTTAAAAATAAAGACTGACTGGCTCACATAACCGGAAAGTCCAGAGGTAGTACTGGCTCCAGGAAAAGCTGATGCGGTGGCTCAGTGTTTCTCTAAATACCTGATTGATTTCCCCCTGCTGCTGCCTTCTGTAGGATCATCTTAAACCTGGGCCACCTAGTGGCTGCCAGCACTCCTGGGATTACACCCAACCAGAAGGGGTGGGGGGCATCTTTGTGCCAGGCATCCTAGCAAAGCCTTAAGATGGACTCTGATTAGGCCAGCCTGCGTCACATGCCGATCCCTCACCAATCACTGTGGCCAGAAGGATGGTGTATGCTAATTCGCTCCTTCTACATCAGGGAAAGATTGGGATCAGCTTCCTTAGAATTACATAGGTCTCCAAATGGGAACTGACGCGGGCGGTTCCTGGGGAGGCAGCTGACACCTGGCCAATACCGGGATGTACATGTGGTTTTAGTTTGCTAGGTTGGGATCAGCTACACCTGTTTCCTTTTTCCCTCACCGTCTTGCATTTTCCTTACTGCAGCTGTAGCCCCTTTCCTCTGGTAGGCGCAGAAGGAATGAGAGGGAAGTCACTCTCCTTCAGGGACTCTCTCTTTAGTCTCATTTAGATGACAATCCCTACATTTCAGAGATGGAGATCCTTCCCTTTCCTGTTTCTGAATGTTGGTTTTCTCCTCATTCTGCTTCCCTATCCCTTACCCTACTGCCACTTTCACCAAGTGGAGTGAAAGATTTAGTTCCTAGTCATTTTATTAAATCCATTCTGTATCCACCAGGTGTCAGTCTCTTGTCATACGTGTGTCAGGATTTCAGCCAGGATCGTGGGGTTTAGGCTAGGTGTGTGGCAGGAGGTAGCTCTGCACATCAGCAAGCACCAATAAGAAGGGAACCCAGACGTTACCCTTCGAAAAGCAGTAAACCAACCAGTATTTACTGAGGACATACGTCGTTTTCTGCATAAGGGTAGCTTCTGTCAGGCAATCTTGGTTCTGCCCAGGAAACATATTTTCTTTCAGGGAGACTTCACTCATTCGTTCCCACCACAGCAGATTTTTAAAAATTATAATATGTAATATTTGGTATCTATAAAGAATATATTTAACATGAATAAATTATGAAACATAATATTAAATGAATACCTTTGACCCATCGCCCAACTTATACATTAAAACATTAGAAATACCATTGAGTTTTTTGTGTTCCTACCCATTCCTATCCCACTGCCTCTCCCTAGAGGTAACCACTGTCCTTAATTTTATGTTTATTAATTGCCTGCCACACACACACACACACACGTGTGTATATATTTAACCATATGTGTACAATATTTAAAAATTGTTCAATTTTGCTTTTTTATCTTTACAAAAATTTTATGCTCTAATAGTCCCCTGAAGTTTGCTTTTTTTCACTTAACATTTCTAAGATTCATCTGTGTTGTAAGTAGCTGTAATTCGTTCATTTTCACCTGTGTAATGTTCCATCAAGTACATAAGCCAGAAGTTATTTATGTATTCACCTATTAATGGACATTTGGGTTGTTTCCAATTGTTTGGCATTACAAACAATGCTGCTACAAACATTCTTGTACCTGTTAGTGCCTTTTTGAAGTAAGATTTTTTTTTTAAATGTTAGCTTTTTTTTATTTTTATTTATTTGACAGAGAGAGAGAGAGACAGCGAGAGAGGGAACACAAGTAGGGGGAGTGGGGGGAGTAGGGGGGGGAGAGACAGGCTTCCCGCCAAGCAGGGAGCCCGATGCGGGGCTCGATCCCACAACCGCGGGATCGTGACCTGAGCCGAAGGCAGACGCTTAACAACTGAGCCACCCAGGCGCCCCTGAAGTAAGATTTCTAAAAAGGTTTCTAAGATGGTTCATTTGGTCTGTACACCCTCTGAGTTGGGGACTGTCCCCTCTTATTCTTTGGAAGAGTTGACATCAGATTGAAATGAGCTGTCCCTTGACACTTTGGTAAAACCCAGCTGTCGAACCATCTTTGCCTGTCTTTCTGGGAAAAACTTTAACCATCAATTCAATTTCTTTAATAATTATAGGCTGTCTGGACTTTCTTTTTTTTTTTTCATGGTTTAATAGCTCATTTATTTTTATTTTTTAAGTTTTTTTATTAATTTTATTATGTTAGTCACCATACATTACATCATTAGTTTTTGATGTAGTGTTCCATGATTCATTGTTTGTGCATAACACCCAGTGCTCCATGCAATACGTGCCCTCCTTAATACCCATCACCAGGCTAACCCATCCCCCCGCCCCCCTCCCCTCTAGAACCCGCAGTTTGTTTCTCAGAGTCCATAGTCTCTCATGGTTTGTCTCCCCCTCCGATTTCCCCCACTTCATTTTTCCCTTCCTACTATCTTTTTTTTTTTTAACATATATTGTATTATTTGTTTCAGAGGTACAGGTGTGTGATTCAACAGTCTTACACAACTCACAGCACTCACCATAGCACATACCCTCCCCAATGTCTGTCACCCAGCCACCCCATCCCTCCCACCCCCCTCCACCCCAAAGTTGTTGTGGTTCTATCCAGACTACTGCTTCAGTTTGTTTCCTGAGATTAAGAATTCTTCATATCAGTGAGGTCATATGATGCTTGTCTTTCTCTGACTGACTTATTTCACTTAGCGTAATACCCTCTAGTTCCAGTTGCAAATGGCAAGATTTTGGTTTTTTGATGGCTGCATTATATTCCATTGTATGTATATACCACATCTTCTTTATCCATTCATCTGTCGATGGACATCTTGGCTCTTTCCATAGTTTGGCTATTGTGGACATCGCTGCTATGGACTTTCTATTTCTTTTTGAGTCAGTTTAGGGTAAGTGTTCTTCTAGGATTTTGTGCATTTCATGCCTTTATTTTTAAACGAAATTTTTATTTATTTATTTATTTATTTATTTATTTATTTATTTATTTATGCCTCTGCTCTCTGGGTAGTCATGTCCTTCTTTTCGTTTCTACTGTGTACTTTTACCTTCTCAGTTCCTCCTCCTTAATTGCACTGGAAGTGTGTTATTTCATTTGTCTATGTTCAGCTACTACTTTGGGCTTTGTCAGTCTTCTCCCTTATGTATTGTTTTCCATTTCATTAATTATAGATATTATCTATAATATTTCCTTCTGCTTTCTTTAGATTTAATTTTATGTTTTTCCATAACATCTTAAATTTGATCTAATTAATTTTCAAGCTCTGCTTTTCTACTGTAAGTCTTTAAGGACCTGTTTCTCTATATTCCCCGAATTTTTTTTGCTGTATTTTGATGATAACTTAGTCCTAAGAATATTTAAATTGCCTTGATGACTTTTTTAAGTTTATGAGTTATTTAGAAAAGTTTTATGAGTTTCCAAATGTCTGGATATTTAAAATTTTATCTTTTTGATATCCATTTTCAGCTTAATCATTTGTGCTCAGAGATGTGGTACTCTGATACTAAACCTTTGAAATTTGTTGGGATTGTTATTTTATATCTCTGTGACTTCTTGGTATCTGAATGTTTTGTTTTCTGCTCATTCTTGCCTGTGGTAGCTTGTTTCCCAGTTTATTCTCAATTTGGGGGTTTGGGGCTTATGTTTTGTTAAACTTAATCTGCGGGAATCCAGAGAGCCTAAATTGGGGGTACTTTCCCCCAGAGAGAATTTGCATTTGCTTGTGCCAGGATCCAAATGATGCTCCTGACCTGGAACTGTGTTAGCCCCTCAGGAGTCTCAGTTCAATCCATGAGTTCCAGGTTTTCTCCCGTTCCATGGCTAGGCCCAGGCCTTAGCCTCTGTTCACGATACTGATATTGGCATTTGTCCCCAAGGCAAACCTGCTGCTCCTGCTGCCTTTTGCTCGTCTTTCATATAGGTTTCAGCTTAATGTTATTTTTTTCTTCCTTTTGTGATTTCTCTTTCTAATGTGCCCAGCAATGTGCTAAACATTATGTTTCTTGTAATTTATCCAGGCTCTACTTGTATTTTAATGGGAGAGCCTTTTCTTTTATCCAGGCTGCCAGGAATAGGCATTACTGCAGTTTTTCTATTTTCCTTCTTGTTTTTTAAGTGCCAGGAACTTATTAGAAGCCGGTTGACTTAAGCTTTGACTTCAAGTCAATAACAATCACAGCACAGTGGCAACATAACAGTGATCTTAGCATTAAGCACAGAGGGCTGTGGGGGCCCAGAGGAATAGCGTGTAAGTCAGATGGGGGTCTGGGGTGACTTCCAGTAGAGGTGAGTAGGAGTTAGCTGGACAAGTCTAACTCATAAGGCAAAAGGACAGAAAACATAAGACATATAGTAAAAAGAGTTAAATCATAGCACTCATTCTGCATGAGAGCTGTAAATGCAGAGAGATCACTTTGGGCTGAATAATTTGGGAAGGTTTCATGGAAAAGATATGCTTGAGTTAAACCTTTAAGGTATGTGGAGCTTAGGTGAAAAAGGAAGACATTCTAGGAAAAGCAGGGGTTTGGGGATGTGAGTTGTGACTAAAGGCATAGCAGAACAACCCCCCATAGAGACCTGGCAGGCAGAAGGGGTGTGTATGAACGATACTGAGAAGTCAACTAGAAGAACACACAACCATTATTATAGTTATCTGTTGACTGAATGAATGGATGAAAGGTATGAAGTTTCCATTAGAGGATGAAGGAACTGGAATTAGAAGGAACCAGCCAGGCAGATGGTTCCATGTGGGAGGAGAAGAGGGACTGGACCGGGCTGCTGACACATTAGAAGTGACAGGCATATGGAAAAATAAACCACTGGTGTTAGAATAGATGGAAGCATCCAAGGAAACCCTGCCCTTACCTTGGTTGGGCCTGGGGATATATCCATTCATTCTGGGATACACCCAGAATGTGGAGCTAGAACTCATGACCCCAAGATCAAGAGCCGCATGCTCTTCTGACTGAGCCAGCCAGTACCTGCCCCCCGACCAGGGATGTTTAAGTAGCCTATTTTTAAAAGATTTTATTTATTTATTTGGCAGAGAGAGACACGGGAACACAAACGGGGAGTGGGAGAGGGAGAAGCAGGCTTCCCGCTGAGCATGGAGCCCGATGCGGGGCTCGATCCCAGGACCCTGGGGTCATGACCTGAGCTGAAGGCAGACGCTTAACGACTGAGCCACCCAGGCTGGCTCAATTGGAAAAGTATGCAACACTTGACCTTGGGGTCGTGAGTTCAAGCCCCATGTTGGGTGTAGAGATTACTTAATTACTTAAATAAATGAAACTTAAAATCTAAAATGAAACAAGTTATTATAGTTTAGGCAATCTTCAGTTTACTGGAGTAAAGGTTTGAGGACTGCCTACTGCTTCCTCCCCACCATTCCTACTCCCTCCCTAGCACCCAACTCTGCACTCCCATGACCTCACCCACCAAACGTCATATTTTTTCATTTTAGCCCAATCATAAGTTGAAGATAATTTATAATTCACTAAAACTTGAAATAATAATTTACTACTAAACCAAGACAAGCTCTACATGTCTAGTCTGTGGCCCCAAATAAATAAACTTATTGTTTATTTTTGTGGATAATAAGCAACTTTCTTCAGAAATGAAAGCAAATGCCACATTCACTTACATACTAAACAGGGGGACTAATGTCATTATATATTTGTCTAAGTGTTTCATCTCACGTTATGTTTCCTCAGTAGGCCTATCCCTTCTTTGCCTCGGATTGTCCTGCTGGCTTCATACAATGAGATAAAGCTAAGCACAACATATATATATAATGCATTTTTTAAGAAATGTTCATGAGAAGGTATTTGTTTGCTGGAAAGAGCATGAATTCAGTTCACATTTTAGCTTTACCACTTATGATTTTGAACATTTATTTAGTAAAGTTTTTCAAACTATAGATTGCAACCCATTCACGGGTTGTGAAACTGATTTAGCAGGATGCAAAACAGTATTTTCAAAAAGGGAAATAGAATAGAAAATATCAGAATGCATTGCATATAGTTAGGGTATTATTTCATGAAACCTTTATTTATTATTTTTTTAAAAGATTTTATTTATTTATTTGACAGAGAGAGACAGTGAGAGCAGGAACACAAGCAGGGGGAGTGGGAGAGGGAGAAGCAGGCTTCCTGCTGAGCAGGGAGCCTGATGTGGGACTCGATCCCAGGACCCTGGGATCACGACCTGAGCCGAAGGCAGACGCTTAACGACTGAGCCACCCAGGCGCCCTCATGAAACCTTTATTTCAATGAAGACACATTTGTGTGTTCTTCAGTGATCATGATGATAAAATGTATTTTTTATTGTGGGTTGAAATAAAAAAAACCTTGAAAAAAATGACCATTCTGAAGCTCAGTTTCCATAAAAATGGTATAATACCTCTTTCACGGGATTGTAATGAGGAATAAAGAAGTAATGTTTGCTTTCATATATAGTAGGGGCTTGGGCAGTAACTGCTGGCTTCTTTATCTTTTCTCTGAAAAAAAACCCCAAGGGCGCCTGGGTGGCTCAGTCGGTTAAGCGCTGGACTCTTGATTTCAGCTCAGGTCATGATCTCAGGACCCTAAGATCAAGCCCGGCACTGGGCTCTGTACTCAGTGTAGAGTCTGCTTTCCCTCTCTCTCTGCTTCTCCCCCAGACCCCTGCTGCTCATGCTCTCTCCCTCTCTCTCTAGAATAAATAAATAAAATCTTTAAAAAATAAAATAAAGGGGCACCTGGGTGGCTCAGTTGGTTAAGCGACTGCCTTCAGCTCAGGTCATGATCCTGGAGTCCCAGGATCGAGTCCTGCATCGGGCTCCCTGCTCAGCAGGGGAGTCTGCTTCTCCCTCTGATCCTCCTCCCTCTCGTGCTCTCTGTCTCTCATTCTTTCTCTCTCAAATAAATAAAATCTTAAAAAATAAATAAAAAATAAAATAAAAATATGTTCAGCGTGGCAAGGAATTTTAGAGAATATCATAAATGTCATGATTTAATTTAATATAGGAAACAAAGAATAGCATTCAGTTTTATAATTTGACAACTGAGATCAAGAAGAAAAGGAAATAGGAAGAAGAAAAACTAGTTTAGTCAAATATTTACTTGTTAATATTTTTAATTTATTAATTCATTTATGAAAAATAACTTTTCCCAAACCAAAAAAAAAAAATCAGTAAGACAGTTGGCATTGTTTTATATTTTTGGAAATCCCTTTAATGCCTGACTGGATTCTCACATCTGCTTCTGCATTCCATCTGTTGCTATATCAACAAACATAATTTCTTCTCCATGTGGCAGAAACTAAGGATATGGCTAGAATACAAAGATGAATCCTCCCCTCCCTTGAGTTCAGACCAGAGGGGTTTGGAGACTTGTGGAAAGAGAGAGTGAATCAAATAAATAAATAAATAAGTTAGTGAGTGAATAAAAAACTAAATAAATCTCCAGAAAAAGTCAGAAAGACCAAGTTATACAGAGATGCAAAGAAATTCACACTTGAGCCCTTAGAGCTATAAACTCAGAAAACTCAACACTCTTCTGCTTAATGTTGTGTTTGTGAGGGGAGGGCAAGGGGAGGAGGTCTCACTTGGTTAATAAAGGTCTTAATAGGGGCACATGAGTGCTTCATGCGGTTAAGCACCCAACTCTTGATTTCAGCTCGGGTCATGATCTCAGGGTTGTGAGATCGAGCCTGCATAGGGCTCTGCACTGGGCATGGAGCCTGCTTAAGATTTTTTCTCTCCCTCTCCCTCTGCCCCTCCAACATCCCCCTTCCTCTCTAAAAAAATAAAGGACTTAATAACTGTCAGTAGCTATCAAAAGTTCCTACTTAAAGATTGAGCAGAGATGTTCCTGAAATCTTGTTTTGTTGTTGGAAAATAAAAAACTTCCTACTATAAAAAGTAAGGCTTTCACATCCCTTTTCACAATGTTTCAAAAACTGGCCCTAAGGGGGCACCTGGGTGGCTCAGCCCGTTAAGTGTCTGACTTCCACTGGGGTCATGGTCTTGGGGTCCTGGGATCGAGCCCATGTCCAGCTCTGCACTCAGCAGGGAGTCTACTTCTCCCTCTGCACCACCCCCCGCCCCCCCCCCCGGGCCCATCCTCTCTCTCAAATAAATAAAATTTTTTTTTAAGATTTTATTTATTTGTCAGAGAGTACAAGCAGAGGGAGCGGCAGGCAGAGGGAGAAGCAGGCTCCCCACTGAACAGGGAGCCCAATGCAGGATTTGATCCCAGGACCCTGGGATAATGACTTGAGCTGAAGGCAGATGCTTGACCAACTGCCACCCAGGCGTCTCTAAATAAATAAAATCTTAAAAGGGGGGGTGCGTAAGGCCCTTGGGAATCCTACCCCTGGAAGGGAGGGATGTGTGACACTTTAAACTCTAGGTTAAAGCAGGATCATTGCCTCTTGACCCTTGCCTGACAGCTGATTGGGAGCTGGCCAAGAGTTACAGGACCTGACAGGTGGGCTGATGATTCCCCCGTCCAGACCAGCGGTGACAAATTCAAACTATCTTTGGCACTCTTGGCTTCTTTCTCTGCTCCTCTGTCATTACTGTACTCCCGCTTTAACCTAGTTTATCAGCTTGCCCTCTCATGATTCAAGCAAATTCCCATTTCTTTTCTTTAACAGTTTTTTAGTCTTCAGAATGCTCTCTTTTTTGTTCTGCTGGATCCTGCCCAATATCTCTTCTAATACCTGGCTTACAGTATTTTTGAGAGGTCTTCCATTCATTCATTTGCCATATACTTAGTGGCTAGGCCTTCTGTATTAATTAAACATACTCCTCTCTATTCCTTCAGCATTTGGGTACCCCACTTGTTACTTCTGTACATACTGCATGTTTTACATAGGTATTTCCAAGCTACTACTTTTTATTCTGCCTCCCCATTTGCTTCCATGTATTTTTAAAATTTCTTCTTTAATTTCCTGATTATTCTGGAAAATCATTCTATTCTGCCTCCCCATTAAACACAGAAGCAGTGACCCTTTTCTTTCATCATCCTATATTATTGTCCCAATAATAGTAATGTAGTGCTATGGTAGTAATCTGTACTCTCTTTTAATCCTCACAAAACCCTGTAAAGTGTTGATATTCCTGGATCCACTTTGCAGACATAGAAACTGAGGTTCAAAGAGGTTACTCCAGTCCTCCCAAATCAAACAGACTTTAAGTGGCAGGGAAGGTGGCATACAAGATCTGGGCTAGCCTCAGAAATCTAGCCTCAACCACAAATATTAAGTAAGGCCCTATGAGGGTTGGGACAGAGGTTCTGAGGGAGAGGGCTCCCAATCAGTAATACTGACAAATACACAAAAGCAAAACCAGAGGTCCAGTTGCAGGGCGTGTTTTTATTTGTTTAGTTGTATATGGTTTGGTTTGGTTTGGTTTGGAAGACGGGGTTATGATCACTCACCTCTCCCGACCTGGCCCTGTCCAGCCCCTCCCTGGAGGGATCGACGTCCGGAGGCTGGAGGCCAAAGGCTATCCAGGCAGGTGGTGACCTCGGAGGCAGAACCACGGCCTCGAGTCGCGCCGCTAACGGCGCAAGATTGACGCGGTTGGACCGCGCCATTCCCGAAGCGATAAGGGGCATAATCTTGGCAGCGTCCTTAAAGATGAATAGGAAAAGGGTGGTGAGGGTGACTATCTTCCCCGCCCGCCCTTTCTCTTTCTCCACTCCCCGCCGGGCCCCCCGCGTCCATTCCACGGCCTAATTTACTAAGAGAGTCTTGTGGAATAGGGGAGGGGGGAAAGACACTGATAGCAATTACGGTAACTCGGTTGCTAACACAAACGGGCTCATTTACATGTAATTTGCATGTTCAGGTACTTATGGAAGTACCCAATGTGTATGTACTTCCTTTCTTTAACAGGGCACCCGCACCCGCCTGCCGGCCTGCCTCTCTCTGCTCTAGGTCAGGAGCCCCTGTCCCTTATCCAGTAAATTTTACTACCTTCTCGGTTCCCTAGCCTCGCAAAAGCTACCTCTTAGCCTCCGGAAGATTGGCCCCTCCTCCCACCCGTAGGCTCCTCCCTTCGTCCTCTCCTCCCTCCCCAGTTTCCAAATGCGTCTTCCCCGCCCCCTTTTCTATTTCTGAACAGGCATGTTCCAGGCAGCTCAACTCCTTAGATTGCTATGGGATTGGTAGGGTCCTGAGCGTCGGAGAAGCAGGAAGGCATATCCCAAGAATTGAGCCCTACTGGGATTTTTTTATTTTCGTCTTGCTTTTGCGGAGGGAAGGCGAGGAGGCTGTGCGGCCCGGTCGAACTTGAGGCAGTGTGAAAGCCCCCTCAGGCGGCGCCGAGGGCAGCCCCTAAGCCGGGGCCTGGCTCAGCCGCCGGGGCCTGGCTCAGCCGCCGCGGCCGCTGTCAGGGAAGCGCAGGCGGCCAATGGAACCCGGCAGCGGCCGCTGCTGCTGAGGCGGCGGTGTCGGCAGCCCGACCCCGACCGCCCCCACCCCCTCCGCGGGGGTCCCCAGGAGGTAAGCGATTCCTACCCCGGGAGTCCCCCTGGCCCTGTGCGTGGGGGGTCCCTCTCCCACGCTGTCCCGCACAGCCTCCCCCCGCCCCCACACCTGGGTTTGACTATAGCACTGCCCTCCGGGTGGCAGCTGCACCCCGGGTGCCTTCACCCGTTCCCCTCAAGTCTGGGGTCCTTCTCTGCTTTTTTGGCTTCCTATTCTGTTTAGCTCCTCCCTCCGCCCGGGGATTCCCCCCCCTCCACTTCACCCCCCCCCTTATCCCTGTTGCCTCCGTCCCGAATTATTTTCTCCTAAGTCACGAACCCTTTCCACATCAGGGTACCTCTTGTAATGTCCATTCTTGTTTGCGCTTCCTCGTCAGCTGTGTTCCGCCCCAAACCTTTCCCACAGCCTCCGCCTTCATCCCTTTTCCTATTTTTGCCCCTTTCCTCCGATGTCTCCGTGCAACCCCAGCACTGGCTTCCCATTTCCCTGAGCTCTCTCTTCCCTGTGGCCCTCTATTCCTCTGTTTCTGATTCCATTACCTCACCGCCACCCACCCAGCTCCTGGCTTCCAAGAATTGCCTATTCCCCTCCCCTTAAGAAATCTCAGGCCCTCATCGTCATTCCCAAAGTACCATTTGCATTGTACTTTGGCCTTAATCCTTACCTTTCTCTAGAGAGCTTTAGGATCCCTGTAACTTTCTTTAGCTTCCCTTCCCCCCTCTCAATACCCCAACCTCTGGAGGTTTGTTCCTATAGAAAAGATCTAACAGTGCCCCTTCCCATTCAGGATTTCCATCTCTGACACCTTCTCTCTTGAGTTTCAAGGATTTTGCTGATCCCTGTGACCCTTGGTTCTGTTTTCCCTGTGGTCTGTGTTCTGTCACATTCTTTATCTCTACCTACCACTTATTTCAGGATCAGCTCAATCTTGAACTAAGAAGAAAATGTGTTGGTGGGGGGAGCCTCAGCTGTCTCACTCAGGCTTTTCTGGACAGAAGGGTGTTTCTGAAGGATGGAGTAAGTTTTGAAGAAGTTCCTATCAGATTATACTTTGTTGACTACCCAGGATCAGCCACTAGGAGGGATGAACAAGCCTGCATGGAAACTGTGTGAGATTGTGAGAAATTTTGTTTTGGATTACTTAATTTTAGGCTTGTCCTTAAGGGATCACTGATTAGAGTGTCTTCCAGATCCAGAAGGAGTCAATTTATTGTCTGTGGCTTACTGGAATAGTTTTGGTTGATTCCGTAGGGCTTAGGCCCAGGGTGGGGTTGGGGGTAACTGAAAAAAGGAACATGAGACATTAGAAAGAGCTTGGACATTCAGAATCAGGACTTCTGGGTTTGGTATGTGACTTCCTCACTTGACCTCTAGAGTGACCTTTTTGGGAGAATGGCCCACTCTGTGGGCATCAGTGCAGTAATAGGCTACTTATAACGTGGGCTGGGGGAAAAATTAGACTTGGTTTATTTGTTTACAAAACATTCTGGGTTTCACAGACAAAAGGCATTTCTTAGTAGTGGTTTAGCTGACCTGAGAGTTTTCCTTCATTGTGATCTCTCTATTGGGTCTTTCTAGTCGACAGCTGTGGCAATAAGTCCATTTGAAAGACAAGCTCCAGGCCTGCTTCCTTTGTCTGCCTTGCCTTTTTTCTCCACTACATGAAGTTGCTGACCACCTGTGCTGTTTCTCTTGGACTTGATCCATAACTCCAGATTCTGTAGATGGAAAAGTATGTTTGTGGGAAAGCCCTTTGAGGAAGATGGCTGGGAAAGAGAACTTGGAGTGAAGTGGGACTTGGGAAACTAGTTGCTCCCTTGTATGCCATGTCTCTCTTGGCCTGTGATAGTGAAGAGGGCATGTGAAGTTGCATTTTTCTTCCAATTCTAAGTCTTTTTGAAAGTAATCATGCTTCCTCTTCCCACTTCTCCCTTGTCTCCCTCTTCATTGTTAGCCAGAGTGCAGTCTCCTCATCCTCCTTTTTAGGAGTAGTTTCACTCCTTGGAAACACCCCCAAAGAGAAATCATATTTCCCCTAGTTTCCCTGCTTCATTCTCAGAGCTGGGTCCACGCTGCATGAGAACGTGTTTGCTGAACGCCATCCAAAACAGCAAATTGAGATTCTTTGATTTGGGGAAGAAGTTTGGGAGGAACCTTTCAGTAATTGGCATGAGACAAGAGAGGGCCTAGTCCAAGCGCATTTGGGGCTTGCAGCAGGGAGGAACAGTTCAGAGAGAGGTGAGTGCACAGGTTACTTTCTTTGCCATTTGTCTGTTTCAGCAGGGGCTTCCAGAGCTGGCTTGGGCTGTCTGACTGGAATCTGCTTATACCAGCTCCCATGGCCCTGCACAGAGACTTCTCAGCCTGATTCAATATTGACTTAGCTACCCTGAGACCACTGCCTTCCCTGCCTTTCTGCTGCTAGCTCAAGAATGCCCTGTTCCCTGATGCCAATCCCCCACTGGGGCCTTGGGGGAAGCATTTATGTGATTCCTGCTAGGGCCTGAGCCTACTCACTGTTCGTCCCTGGGTTTCTATGAGAAAAAAAGGTAGCACTTAATCTCTACTTTGTCCATTGAGGTCAAGGGGGAAAGATGAGCTGAGGCCTTTTTAACGAAAGGTTTGAGTTAGATTTTAAAATATGAGGAGGAACTTCTCAATAGCAGAACAAGCAGCCGAGGGTTATGCAGAGTCTCTTTGGAAGAGCAGCTTCTTTTTAAAAATTATTATCAAAGGCGGGGTGCCTGGCTGGCTTAGTTGGTGGAGCACACAACTCTTGATCTCTGACTTGTAAGTTCAAGCCCACGTTGAGTGTAGAGATTACTTAAAAAAATAAAATCTTTAAAAGAAAATTATTAAAAGGCAAACATGCACTTGGTATTAATTCCAGTGGTACTTAAGAGTTTATGATGAAGGGGCGCCTGGGTGGCTCAGTCGTTAAGCGTCTGCCTTTGGCTCAGGTCATGATCCCAGGGTCCTGGGATAGAGCCCCACATCGGGCTCCCTGCTCCGCGGGAAGCCTGCTTCTCCCTCTCCCACTCCCCCTGCTTGTGTTCCCTCTCTCACTGTGTCTCTCTATGTCACATAAATTAAAAAAAAAAAAGTTTATGATGAAATCAACAGTCCCTCTCCATTCTTCCCACTCCTCCTTTAGAGTTAACATCTTAATTATCTCAGTGTTTATTTCTGAAGGTTATCACCATAGCATTGGATAAAATGCTTGTGCCTCTATTTCTTGGTTTATTAATTGTTACAAAAGAGCATTGGACTTTAGAGGATTTACGCTTCTTGTTTATATAATTGTCACTTTTATTTATTAGAAGCCTCTATAATTGTAAATAACATATGTGAACTTCCCTTTCTTTTCCATGAACTCGTAACAGTCTCTCTTAACTACCCACCTTGTAGGATGAAGATAGTGGCTTCACTACCCTTTTTTCCAACTCACATGATCCATCTCAAAGGGAGGAAAATTGAGCTTGCCTACCTGCTTGGAAAGATGATCTCTTAAGACAGTTCCGTGAAAATACAGGAACCTGTAAAACATGAGGATTTGTCTGAAGCAACCCATATTTTTCTAGTCCCCCAAGAAGGGAATGGTCATTAACTGGGTGAGGGGATTGATTTGGGGCTTTCTGCTGTCCTGTCCTAGCAGAGACCAACCCAGGAAATCCTTTAATGAAGATCAGTAGGGAGTTGGAGGGTTCTTTGCCTGGAATCTTTGGAGGTGATGAGAAGCGGGAAGCCAGGTTAAACATCCCCTCCCCATAAAGTTTTTGCAGACATTTACTTAAATGCTAGGTCATAACAGAACACAAACATGTACACCCTCTCAGTGTGCTCTGTGGCCACTGCTGTGCTCAGCCCTGAACAACCCCCTGATGCTTAGATGAGGATTCCCTACATTTCCCAGACAATTAGCTGTGGAGCCCAATCAGTTAACACTCCACTCCTACCCAGTGCCTAAAAGCCAGCTGCTAGGCTGGGGTGGGGGAGACCTCTTCAGTTCCTTCATCATCTAATTGGAAGGCCAGTTTAGGCTCCCAGTGTGAAATGTGGAGCCTCAGTTGTTTGAACGTCCTTGAGAGCATAGGAGCCATTTGATATTAAAGGTTTGGATTTTCTTCTTTTTTCCTATTCTCTTACAAGGCGAAGGGTGATGAATACAGGACCTCTTCCTTTTTTTTTTCACTTTCTAGTCCTTTCACTTTCTTTAGAATGGTTACTTACCAAAGTTATATTGTCTTTGCTTTTGAAAATGAATGAACTGATGTTGAAGACTGTATTAGGACTTAGGTTTTGGAGAATCCCTTTCCTATTTCTTACTGTCTAAATTGGCAACTCAATACCTCCTCCCCCCATGACTTGTTTCAGATGCAGGCAATCCTTGAGGCTCAGGGAGGCGAGGGAGGTCCAGCTCCAATTTGGTAGTTTCTAGTGGCAGAGCCACTAGAGAGGAGTCCAGTTTTCCTGCATCTCTTGACACCATCTGGTTCCCTGGGGAATAAAGACTGAGATGGGGGATCTGTTCAGTGGAAAAGTCCCCTGAGTACTGTGATGCGGGATTCCTGGCTGAGCCCTGGGATAAAAAAAATAAATAATGGCATCCTTCCCTCCCCTCCTGGTGCCAGTAATAATCCCAACTGTGGTCAGTTGGGGCCGGCATCTGCTGAGTATCCTAGTGAGGTCTGAGGTGCTATATATGGGAGGATGTCTCAACTTCATGTCTCTTGGAAGTTTTGAAAAGTGGATTTTAGGAGCTTTTGATAACTTGGAAATCTCTGGAGTAGAGGGAAGCGGAAAGATTTGCCAAGCATACAGAGATTGAGGAAAAAATAAAAGTTGGTTGTATTAAACAGTTGAGGCTATCATGTGAAGTTTTTCAGCAGACCTAAAAGGTGGTGGTCTCAGTTGAATTAGAATGATCCTCTGGTGCAGAGTGCCCTGCAAAGGTGTGGCAAGGAATGATTAAAGCTTTCTTATTATTTCTGTGTAGCCTAAAGTTGCGAGTAGAGACAGATCCACGTAGGCAGCCATGCTGGTTCTACTACTCAGAGGGCTCGGCCTAATTTTAGGAGAGAGCATGATGAACGAGTTGCCAAACTTTTACTGATACCAAGCTCAAGCTGCATCAGAGAAATTAAATTCAGGGATGGGAACTTCTTGTTTGACAGGGTTGGGAGAAAGATAAACTAAAGTAGCCTTTTTTTGGTGATCTCTGAGAACAGAAGAGTTCCCCATCTGTCTTCCTGCAAGACTTAGTGGTGACTGCTGGGAGGGACGTTGCTAGGCTATACAGTATAGGGCAGAGCAGAGTGACTGACTCTTAACATTTCAGAGGTGCAAGAAGAGGCACCGGAAGGGTGGCGGTGGAAAATGGGGCTTCCCAGAGCGATTAGAGAATTTGTATCGCAAGCCTCCTTTCACCTACCCAAAGTGCTATGCACCCAGATTCACTAGCATCAAAGGCGGTGTCACTAATGGTTGCAAACTACCTGTGTTTCCGCTCTACAGTAGATCCTGCCTTCCTCTTGCTCACGCTCTTGAGTTTATCTTAGGCTCACTTTTACTTGTGTTTTTGTGAAGAGGCCTCTGAGCCCGTTGTTGACTACAGTCGGACTTTGGAGTTGGGTAGATCTGACATTCACAGTGTGCCTGTCCCAGTCCTTGCTTTGAAATTTCCTTCCATTCTATGCTATTCTGATCCACATTTGGTGGGGCTCGGAAGAATCGTCCTAGGAGAGCAGTGGCTTTTGTCAGCAATGTTCTCTCACTCCAGAGAGGGACTCTTGGTGTTGTGATTCCTGTTCCTCCCTGTTCTTTGGATGTTATAGACCCATGAGCTCTAGCTAAATTCTTTTTGCCTTCTCCCAGCCTTTCCAGTTCGTGGGCTGTGCGTATGATAATGGAGAAGGTAGTGTTGGGGTAGGAGAGGTCTGTCATAAATGTTTTGGGAGATTCTTAGACAACAAATGTAACGCTAATTCACTTTCCTTATAAACAGTATGTGTGTGCGCACACACTTGTACGCATATACACTGTTTACTAACTTGTTAGGTGATTAGGATTCACCTGATATTTATTGAGTACTACTGTGTGCCAAGGACTGTGCTAGATCCTTCTACACTCATGATGTTTTCCCACACAACAACAATGAGAAGTAGATATGTTTTTCCAATTTTGCAGTTGAGGAAACTGAAACTCAGAAAATATATGGTTTGTATAAGTTTACACATCTCATAATGGCAGAGCCAGGATCTTGAGTCCCAGCCCATTTGACTCCAAGTTCAGCAGTCTTTCCACTGTACTTGACTGCTACGGCACTAGAGAAAGAAGGAATGACGTCATGAAGTCAGACAAGCAGAGAAATGGCACACTTCAGCAGGGTTGTTGATGGTTGTTTTAGAGCTGTTTTCTCAGTGAAGCCTGGATGGTATTTGCTGGCCCTTATTCCTTGGGAACTTTGAGTCTGAAGGGAAGGTGACTAGAGAAACATATCAGGACTTGGATACTGGCGGGTGTCAGGCTAATTCAGTCGGAAGAGCGTGGGACTCTTGATCTCAGGGTCTTGAGTTCGATCAAGCCCCACATTGGGTGTAGAGATTACTTAAATAAAAATGAAACTTAAAAAAAATAGGCTTTGATACTAAATGGAGGTGAGATGCTTAGGACCTGTGTCTGGAATGTTATATGAGTAAGGAAATACAATTTAAAGAGGAAAAGAGAAAGGTTATTGGCAGGCGAGGCTTGTCAAGGGAGATACGAGAAGAACACAAGATAGAAAAGCATTTGAAGAATTAGGGACAAGGGAATAAGACCAGAATTGCTTCCCAGTCTACCTGAAGATTTGTAAACCTATGTAAACAAAACGTATAAAGCAGCATTTTGCAAATGCAAGGTAGGAACAGAGGCTAAGCTGATAGCTAAGTGCAGAAGAAGGAAGAGTAATGTGGCGATCAGTAGTGGAGGTAGTCAGGGAAGGCTTCGTGGGGGATGACTTCTCATCTGATTTTGAAGGAGTCCAGGAAGACAAAAGAGAGGAGGGGCCTGGGACGGTTTCATGGTGGACGAAAGGAAGACCTGAGGATGGCACCACTAACCAGTGTGTGTATGTGTCTCCCTTTCTGTTCCTTTCTCTTTCCTTCCTCCTGTAGCTTGGAAGCTCGAAGTCTGGCTGTGGCCATGGGAGACATGGTGGTGGAACCTGCCCCCCTGAAGCCAACTTCTGAGCCCACTCCTGGCCCGCCAGGGAATAATGGGGGTTCCTTGCTAGACGTCATCACAGAGGGGGTCGGGGAACTATCAGTGATTGACCGTGAGGTGGCCCAAAAGGCCTGCCAGGAGGTGCTGGAGCAAGTCAAGCTTTTGCATGGAGGTGTGGCTGTATCTAACACAGACACCCCTCTGGAGCTGGTCAATGGGGATGTTTTGGACAGTGCGATCCGTTGCCTGGACGATCCACCTGCCCAGATAAGGGAGGAGGAAGATGAAATGGGGGCCACTGTGGCCTCGGGCACGGCCAAGGGAGCAAGGAGACGGCGGCAGAACAACTCGGCCAAACAGTCCTGGCTGCTGAGGCTTTTTGAGTCAAAACTATTTGACATCTCCATGGCCATTTCATACCTGTACAACTCCAAGGAGCCTGGAGTACAAGCCTACATCGGCAACCGGCTCTTCTGCTTTCGCAACGAGGATGTGGATTTCTATCTGCCCCAGTTGCTTAACATGTACATCCACATGGATGAGGACGTGGGTGATGCCATCAAGCCCTACATAGTCCATCGCTGCCGCCAGAGCATTAACTTTTCCCTCCAGTGCGCCCTGTTGCTTGGGGCCTACTCTTCAGACATGCACATTTCCACTCAGCGACACTCCCGTGGGACCAAGCTCCGGAAGCTGATCCTCTCAGATGAGCTAAAGCCAGCTCACCGGAAGAGGGAGCTGCCTTCCTTGAGCCCAGCTCCTGACATGGGGCTGTCTCCCTCTAAGAGGACTCACCAGCGCTCTAAGTCCGATGCCACCGCCAGCATAAGTCTCAGCAGCAACCTGAAACGAACGGCCAGCAACCCTAAAGTGGAAAATGAGGATGAGGTAAAATGCCTGGGAGGGGCAGTGGGGGCAAGACGGCACGGAGACAGGATGTCTGATATATAGTTCCGCTGTCCTTTTCTCTCCTTTCCTCTGTTTCATTTCACTGATAAAAGCATGGGATGTCAGAGTGGAAAAAGACCTTAGAATTCATGTATCCCAACTGTCTCATTTTACAAAGGAAGAACTCAGAGACCTAGAGAGAGAGAAGTGACTTGCCTCGGGTCATGTAGCTAATAGCAAGGCTGACACTCCTGACTCTGTCCAGTTGTTTTTACTCAACTTCACTGCCATTCCGTTAACTACTTACTTACTGAGAACTGTGGCAGAGACCCTCCCCACCCTGACTTGAGACCTGGGATATCTACCAGAAACTCTCAGAGTAGCAGCCATCAGGGAGGAAAAGGGATGGTGTGTGTGCTGGGGGGAGGGGTATTAAATAGAGCCTTAACTTCATTCTCCTGGTCACTCCTCCTCATAATCCCTCTGCCCCACTCTCCAAAGATCCTCCTTTTTGTTGACTTAAGAGTAAGGTTCATTCCCTATCACTGAGGTATCTGCAGAATGCCCTTGTGCCTGCCTTTCCTCAGGGGAAGGGATGTCTTAGCATTTTGGAGAAGCACAAAGGGAAGAGGGAAGTGGTCTTGCTGTAGAATAAATCTTGGGCATGCCCAGAGTCTAGTCAGAGACCTGAAGGCTGGAAAGAAGAGAAGACTGCAGGAGCAGTTGGGGGTGTCCAGAGAGGGAGGAGATAAGCACATCAGTAGGTTATGCCCACCTTCCATCCCATGTCTGGACAGATAGCTTGGGAAGTTGCCACTGGACAACTAAGTGTCAGTGACCTGGTCCCAGCCAGACAGTGATGCCCCAGTCCCCCCCTGTGACTCACCACTGGCCCAGCTCTCATCCTGGCTGCCAGCCCAGCCTAGGAAAGAAGGGAGAAAAGAGCAAGGAATTTGCACTTGTTGGAAAATGCATATAGCCATGGTGCTGGCATCTGCCCCTGTGGGGCACATAACTCACCCACGGTTTTGATACAATGGGACTTCTTTTCAGCTTCTTTCAATCAGAGTGACTAGGGAAGGGAAAAGGCAGGACGGAGGGAGACTACAGAGCCTGCTTTCTGGAAATTTGGGGTTTCGTTATGATAAGAGTGAAGCTAAAAGAGCCAACATTTGTTGGGCACTTATTAGATGCCAAGCATTGTGCCAAGTACTTTACATTTCATCCTCAACAGTCCTAAGAGACAGGGATTATTTTACCATTGAAGAGGCAAGCTTAGAGAGGTGAGGTGATTTTCCCAGGGTCCCTCAGCTAGGCCTCAGATCACAGCTGATGCTTTTAATCATTCAGCTGAGCCATCTTGCCTATTTCTCAGCATCTGCATTCCCAGGCCCTCAGCTGTCAGAGTCCACTTGGGGAAGAATGGCCTAGGCCCTAGCCATCTAGGTTTCCACGATTCCATGCAGAGGCAGAAGAGCCCAATGGTTCTCAGAATCAAAATGCACCATTTTCTTTTCTGGTTGAGCTTGCAGGGAAGTTCAAAGTCATGAACAGAGGTCGTTGCAGAACAAGAAGAATCATCCACATCTGGTCGGACTAAGGCCCTGAAGGGTTTGGGAGCTCCTTCTCTTGGGGTCAAGCCTGTAGCAGTATGTGTGTGAGCAGCTGCAAATGCACCCCTTTGCGCCTCCTGTCAGGCATGGCTTTTCTCTATATGCATTTGGTAGTTGTCATCTTAGGACCAGAAAAGCTGAGGCCTCGGGCCTACTCTGTGCTGGTCCTTGGTCCCTCTTCCTTGGATCTAACTCCTTCCCAGGATGGGATTATGGGTGACTCTGAGACACAGGTATTCTGTGAGAGCTTAAATCCTCTGGAGTGGCTTCTCTGGCTGCCATTCTTCCCAACCTGGCTCCTTATCATGGGTTATTAGATCCAGGAAAGGAAGGAGATACCAGATCCCTAGGCATTCCTGGGTTATCTGATGCTGGCCAGGAGTGAGAGAATAAATAGGAATGTCTCTAGGGGTCTGAGCATTGGAGTCTTTGGCACAGAGGTCTGTCTAAACCCCTTTGGCAATTTGAGGATACGTCTGTCAAGGCTTTTGTTCCCCAAATACCAAGGGAATTGGTTTTCCTCCTTCTGCTCCTCCTCCTCCCCTGTTATACAACATTCATTCACTCAGCAAATGAGCTTGTACCCCATGCACAGCCGTTGCCAGAGGCCGTAAAAGATGAAGGATAAAGTGTGGCTCTTCCCTCCAGGAACTTGTACTGTGGAGACCCCATTATCTAAGAGTCCGCTTAGTATGTGACTCTCAATTTTGTATACTGAAACTTTACTGAATTTATCAGTTCTAACAGTTTTTTGGTGGAGTTTGTAACTCTCTTGAGAAGCTGTTTCCTGCATGTAAGGAGGAAGTCTAAAGCTTATTAAATAAAGCACATAATTATCTAAAGAGAAGCTCTGGAGGGTAAAGTGAGGCCACAGAGAAGAGGCCCCAGCGGCCCGTGCAATTCTCTTCCTGCCCATAGTCTCCCTGCACGGTCATTTTCTGCCCAGATCTCACACGGGGTTCTGTTTTCTCTTAATGATGGATCTTTCACACTCTCCACTATAAGCCAAGGACTCCAGCATGGATTTCTCCCAGCCCCCACCATTTCCGCCCCCGAAGCCTGCCGCTTCAAAGCAGTTTTTGTCAGCCTAATTGGAGGACTCTGCTCAGGTAGTCTTTCTTCCCATTAGTAACCAAGTGGTAAACATTTTGGCCTAGAATGGGGGCCCAGGGAGCAGAGATGATTTAGGTACCACCTCCACTCCACACCCTGCCCCACATAATGACACTCATAGTAGATCAGCTTTGTCTTTTAAGGACTATAACCTTTGTACAGAGAAATCTGCTGCATGTCACACTGGAAGCCCCAGTGGGCCTTCCAGCCTGATGTGGTATGATGTCAGCTTCTTGGCCTCAGCTTCTCTCCTGGAGCTGACTCAGTATGAGTGACTCAAGCCTACAGAGTAGGAGAGAGGAACAGATCATGATATACCTCCCTTCCCCCAAGGCTACTAATGAGTCAGACGGGAGCCGTCTGTGGAAGAATCAGCTGGAGCATTGCTCACGGAGCAGTACCCTCCCTGCTGTTCCTTCCCCAACCAGCTCATGGACAGAGATTGAACCCCTAAGTCAGAATAGGCTCTGGCATCCTCACTGCCTCAGTTCTCCTGCCCACCTCTACCCAAAGCAGAGGAATTGTTGCCTTGGGAGAGTATTTGGCCTGCCTTCTCCCTCCCAAGTGCCCCTCTTCTCAGATTCTTCAAGGAATGACCTGACTATAGGACCTCCAGCTAGAAGAGAATGTAAACCATGGAATGGAATTAAGTAGGTGCTTGAAATGCTGATTGCAGAGTAGAAGCTCAGTGACTACTGTCCTCCTGCTCTGGGAGCTCCCAGGACTTTGTCTCTAAGTCCAGGCCCCTGCCCTCCTGCATGTTTGTGCATGCTTGTTGCCCCTTCTCCCTGCCCTGGGAGACCTTGGTGGACAGAACCCAGGATGGGCCCGTGCACAAGCTGCAGTAGAACCGCTGAAGGCGAGTTTGACCACCAGCCCTTTCCCCTGTTTTTGCTCACGGACACCAGTAAGACACAGGCATGGGGTGAGATTTAGATAAATCTCCTAGGCTAGGAGCTGGACAGCTTCTGCTCAGCTGCTCAGCTTTCACAGGTGGATGCAGCTAGGACCAGCTCCCCAACTGAGGTCCAAAAATTGTAATTTACTGAGTGTGGCACGAAATAGCCTGATTGGAAGCCTGTGGAGGTTGAGTAGATAGGAGGAGAGTCATCCATCCTTTAGGCCCAGCAGCATCTAGCCCAGAGGTGTCATGCTCATGGCTCTGGGGTGTCCCTCATCTCATGGCTCAAGATTGGGACTGGCCATCCCAGGATGATAATGAGGCTGATTGGCAAGGAGATAGCCCTGGCACTGAAAGTTTAGCTCTTCTGCTTCCTCCCTGACGTTAGCAAGAAGCTGGAGGAAAGCAGGCTTTCCAGTATGGGGGCCATGCAGCTTGTTAAATTCAGTTCCTTTGTGGTGGTTTCCACAGAGAAGGGTTTGGGTAGGAGCATGTGAGTGGCTGAAGAGAAAGCAGGCAGCTTGGCAGTGCAGTTACCGCCCTGAGGCGCCCAGCTGTAGGGTCTGCCCTAGAGGGAGAGCTCGGTGCAGGCAAGGAGAGAAGGGGACAAAGTGAAAAGCCGAGGCCTTCTGTCTCTTCAGCCCTTCTTCTGACCTCACGGTCTGAGCCAGCTCTCCATTGTCTCCTACAGGGGTCAAGAATGTGGGCAAGTGGTGTTTCTGGGTTGACTTTCTCTCATTAAAGCAGCCAGGTAGAGATACATGAGAGAAGCAGTTATGATCCAAGTTGGAGCTAAATTCTTTGCCTTTGTCTCTCTCCCCTCCCTCCCTGCCCCTCCCCCTCCCCCTGCCCTCTGGCCCTTTCCCAGGAGCTCTCCTCCAGCACCGAGAGTATTGATAATTCATTCAGTTCCGTAAGTGGGGTCAGGCTGGGACTGGGTGGCAGGCTCCCCCCCTGTGGCCGCATTTCCTCTCCGTCCCCAGGTCTTCTGAGTCCCCAGGCCAAGGCTTGAGTTAAAAGGTGCCTTTTCTGCCTGGGAGATCAGCCCCTCCCTCCCAGGGCTCCCCAGCCTGGAAGAGTCCCCTGCCCTTTGTCACCAGTGCCCTGAGCCCAGGCTTAGTCGTGCTCGAGCCTTCTCCCAGACGCAGCTGGGAAGCACTGCGACTCAGCCCCCAGTTCCTGGGTCTCTAGAGCCAACAGCTGGGAGAGAGGTAGAATTTACTCCTGGATTGGAGCCAAGAACTTCTTGGCAGAAAGCCCCAGGATCCTATTTCTCCCACCCAGAACCCTTTCCACATGGCTTCTGCCATCAGACCATCAAATATTTATTTGGTTCTTCTAAATGCTAGGCCCTGTGCTGGGGGAGCAGACCCCAAACACAAACAGGATTTGGCCTGAAGGAAAGTTTTACCTCCCAAAAGCCGGTTTTCTTTTTTAGCTTCAACCATCTTTCTTCCAGGTCTGAGTTCTTCCCTTTCCCAGCTCACTGCCCAGGAGGTTCCTTAATCCGCATTCTCCTTTCTTGTTCCCTCTGGACTAACCCCTGACCCTCTGGTCCCACAGGGTCTCAGACCTTGTTGCTGGGCAGAGACGTGAGAGGAAATGCTGGACCCTCTGGGAGTTTGGATGATTTTTTTACTTTTTCTTTTTGATTTGTTTACCCAATCAGTTTTCTCCGTTCTGTGCTGATCCCCTTTCAATCATGATTCCTATCTCCTCGCATGTGGCAGAGCCTCTCTCGAGGCCTGGGGTCACATCTCCAACATGCTGAAGGAACGTAGGGGCCCCCGACCCAAATGCTGATTTGAGGATGGGAAGGAATTCTGCCTTTTCTAATCTGAGATGACTATGAATTGGTTGGGGTGGGGGGTCCTTGGAACAGTGACCGTTTGCCACCTGATTGGATGGATTAGGGGATCAGGATGAATGAAGGAGTGAGTTTCCAGATTTCCTCTTCCTTTCTTTTGCTTTCTCCATGAGGCCCCTGGGATATTTCCAGGGACCACAGAAGCCCAGTTCTGCTGTCTTCCTGTCTTGATCTCTTTTCAACCCGGTCTCCCAGAGCATCCCTGATTGATTCCGACATCCTGTTTCATTATCATATGGGACCCTGAGCCGGCCCCCAGTGGGGCAGAGGCTGAGAGATGAGCTATTCTTTTGAACACTGGCTCTTTGCACATGCAGAGATGGGCCTGGTACTACCCAGCTTTCAAAAGAAGCTCTTTTTTGCAGTGGGAGGGAGTGAGGGTAGAAATTCTCAGTTCTCAGGAAACTAAGCAGGATCCACAGAGAGGGAGAGAAAGGCCTGGTGAGTGAAATACTGTTTCTATAAGAAGAAGAAATATTGCTCTTATCTAGCTGAGGGGAGCTGGGATGGGGATGCTGGTGGCTACCTTGATAAAGTACTCCTAATGGTAGAAGGACTTAGGCTGGGAATAGAGCCCTTCTTTGTATCCATCTTTTCCCCCACCCTCACCTCACTGCTCAGATGGACCTTTCTGGGAATGATGAAGTGCCCAGCCTGAGGAGCCAGGCTCACAGCAGGAGTTAATATGGGGAGCCTGCCCCTGAGAGGTAGGGGAAGAGGACCTAAGGAGGAATCACTGAAAGAGACAGACCCTCAGGGCCCTTGTCAAGGGCAGAAAGGAGCTATTGCTTTCTCCACCCACTCCCCACACCTCCCTCCCTCCATCTGCTTTTTCTGTCCCTGTTGATTGTTCCCTCATTAATGCAAAGTCTGTTCATCCCATTCACATCCCCTGCATGTGCACTAACCCCTTGTAAGAGATTGTGGGGTGGTCAGGGGGATGCTATGAAAGGTAACAAAAGTCATTTGAATGGAGTAAATCCTTGAAAGGAGACGTAGTGACTCAGAACGCCCCTCCCTAGCCTTGTGGGCCACTGGCAGAGCCCCTTAGCAGAGACTCAGCCCAAGGACCTAGAGATAAGTGAAGGGCGTCACGTATAAGCAGCTCTTCTCTCTGGATGTTGTCCCTCTACCGATCTCGAAGCCTTGGGACAGTTCGTAACAAACTCAGGTCCAAGAGAAGAGAGGTACCTCCCAGTGACACAGGTTCACACCCCCTTCACCCTCAAGAATCAGCCTGTGGAGGAGTGTGCTAGCTTTTCTACCTATTTCCAGCTGAAGCTGTCGGGTGGAGTGGTGGCACCTCTTGCCAGTGCTGAAAGGTAGCTCCTTCCCTAGAGTTCTCCAGACATTGGGATCCATGGCCAGGAGTGATTAAGTGGGTGGGCCACTTTTTTCTATGGTTTCTTTACCGTCTTTTACTTTGACCCAATCCCCTGTAGCCCGTCAGACTGGCTCCTGAGCGAGAATTCATCAAGTCCCTGATGGCAATTGGCAAGCGGTTGGCCACACTCCCCACCAAGGAGCAAAAAACACAGCGGCTGATCTCAGAGCTCTCCCTGCTCAACCATAAGCTCCCTGCCCGAGTCTGGCTGCCCACTGCTGGCTTTGACCACCACGTGGTCCGCGTGCCCCACACCCAGGCTGTTGTCCTCAACTCCAAGGACAAGGTAGGTGGGCTCTGGCCCAAACCCTACCCCCTGTTTGACTCTTCTCCCATGGTTATCCAGGTTCCCGTGTATACACTCAGGGATGCCCCACCAATATCCTGGCCTCCACGGTTCATGTGCACTTGTCAATCTTGACCTTATCTCGGTGCTGTTGTGATTCTGAGGGCCCTCTTGTCCCCCTTCTTGGGCCTTGTTTTTTTGGACCAAAGAGGCCTAATCTTTTCAGCTTGCCTCTTCTTTCCCATGTCTCAGGAGAGAGTTGCTCTCCAGTCTCGTTCCAGCCCTTTGATAGCTCTTCCCTAGCCCTTCCATAACTCTTAGGCTTTCCATCTACAGTGACAGTGGGAGAAAGAAAGAAATCTCTTGTTTCTAAGACCTTTTCTGATCAGAGTGAGAAGGTAGAAGGAGAGAAGGATGCCGGACTCATGTTGGAGAGAATTAGCTGTCTGCTGATTGGAATGAGTCCTAATGGTTCAGATTCTTTTTCAGAAGAAGTATTGAGGATTAGGACCCTGCTTGGAGCAGTGCCTGATTTTTCCCCAGTCTCTGTCTGTCTTTAGGACAAGCCCCCAGATAGGCTTCTAGGCTTCTCTGAAGGTGGTAATTGATAGTTTTGCCCAAGTGTATCATCTGTACATGTTGGAGCTCAGCTGAAACATTTTTTATTTTTAAGATTTTATTTATTTATTTGAGAGAGAGAGATTGAGAGAATGAGTGGGAAGAGGGGCAGAGGGAGAACAGACTTCCTGCAGAGCAGGGAGCCCAATGTGAGACTCGATCCCAGGACCCTGGGATCATGACCTGAGCCGAAGGCAGACGCTTAACGGACTGAGCCACCCAGGTGCCCATCAGCTGAAGCATTTTAAAGACCTGTGCAGTCTCTCACCCAAATTCTTGAAATGCATGTTCACAGGACAAGTTCCTGCTCTGAATATGGCATTCATAGTGTCAAAAGACTGACAGGTGAGGGTTGGAGCTAGGAGTGGGCAGCTGGAAGGACTGTGTTAGCAGAGTTGAGATTTGGGGGACGGTGGTAGAGGGAAGTTGGAAATACTGTTCTCACACACACACCTCCCCTCCAGGCTCCCTACCTGATCTATGTGGAAGTCCTTGAATGTGAAAACTTTGACACCACCAACGTTCCCGCCCGGATACCCGAGAACCGAATTCGGAGCACACGGTCTGTGGAGAACCTGCCTGAATGCGGTATCACCCATGAGCAGCGGGCAGGCAGCTTCAGCACTGTGCCCAACTATGACAACGATGATGAGGCCTGGTCGGTGGATGACATAGGCGAGCTGCAGGTGGAGGTGAGGGAGCTCCCAGGAGGTGGTACTGGGGCCCAGCACCCATTCTCCAGGAGCTTTCATTGTATTTGAGACAAGGCCACACACCCTGAGGCAGGCTGAGGCAGGTGCCCATGGGGATGAGGGGGAAAGCCCTGAACACCGCTAGTCTGGACTATTCAGGTGGAGCTTGTTTTCCTGCAGAAGGAATTTAGGTTAAGTATCAGGATGAACTTCTAAGCCCAAGAGAATGAGGGAAACTTAAAATATTTATTGAACATCTGCTATATAAAGTTGTCTTAGAGAAGTAGAGAATAATAAGTCATACATTCATTCCTTCAAGAAGTATTTATGGAGAGCCTTGTTTGTGCCAGCCTAGAGTACTGTGGACTAGTGAACAAGATGGCCCCTGCCCACAAGGAGTTTATGACCTAAAAAGAGAGGGAACAAAACCAGTCAGCAGGCAGCTATAGTATGGTGAGATCCAGGTTGTGCTGCAGGGAGCAGGGTGTTAGGCAGCCCCTGAGGGTGGGGGTAGGACTTACTCCAGACTTGGGCCTGGGCAACACCCCACATGATTTCCTGAGGAGGAACTATGTCAGCAGGGCCCTGAAGATGGGTCGCTGGACTCACTGGACAGACCATTCCCAGCAGAGGGAATAGCAAAGGTGCAGACTGGAGGACGAGACAGCTGGGCTCAGTAGAGGAACCGAAGGACGTTATGTGTGGCTGTGACATACTGTGTGGGTAGAAGTGGTGAAGAAGGAGGCTGGAGAGGTTGGCGTGAGCCACATTGTAGGAAGGATCCTATCAACTATGGAAGGAAACTTGGACTCTGTCCTGGGCTTGTGAAGAGCCAGAGCCGCATTTTATGTAGGACTGTGACACAACCAGATGTCACTTTGTGAAGACAGACTCTCTGTCCTTGAGCTTACAGTCCAATTAGGAGATTGGACGCAGATACTTAAGGGGAAAAAACCTGTTTATAGGATATACAACAAGGCAGTGTGCAGTAAGTGCTGAGTGGAGTTGGGGTCTCGTGGAACATTTTGTATTTGAGAGAGATGGGGAGATTAGACGGAATGGCTTAGACTGAAGAAATGGGTCAGAGGGGCCTAGTTCTGGACCCTGCGGGAGAATGCAGCTGTAGCCGGGGAGAACTCCTAGTAAAGGGCGAAAGTCCAGCTTTCTCTGGCGGTCGTGGCAGTGGTGTGCAAACCTGAGCACACCGGGGGTCTTCTGGAGAACTTGTTAAAAATGCAGGCTTCCAGATCCCATTCCCAGTACTTCTACTTCAGACCGATGGCAGGATATGGCAGTCTGCATTTTAGCAGCGTACCAGGTGATTCTGATGAGGTAGTTCACACTTAGGGAAACACGGCTGTAAGGCCCGTGTGAGTGCCCAGGCGTTGTGGCATGGAAGCAGGGCAGGCTTTCTGGAACAGAGTCCAGAAGTGGGGGAGCGATCATGATGCAGAGGCGGCAAGCGTGTAGAGTGACTGGAGGAGCAGGTGACAGAAGTGAGGCCTGTGTTTGGCGCTTCTGACCTGTGGTCCCCTGCTCTCCCAGCTCCCTGAAGTGCACACCAACAGCTGTGACAACATCTCCCAGTTCTCTGTGGACAGCATCACCAGCCAGGAGAGCAAGGAGCCTGTGTTCATAGCAGCAGGGGACATCCGGTATGGCCAGACCACCCTGCCCCACATTCTTCCTCCCCCTCAGGCACTGTGCCTGTCTCTGTCCTTTCCTGTCTGTCAGCCTCTCTTTCCCTCTTCTCTCTCCTTACTCCGTCGTTGTCCTGAGGCCACCAAACTTGAGACAGTGAAGGTGCAGGTTGAGAAATTACTGGGCTACCACGGAAGGAAGTTACATTTAAGAGGACTCCAAAGGGAGCAGCATTTCTTGGAATGGGTCTGAGGACTACACGTGCCAAAATCAAGGGAGAGGGAGGAGAGCTTGCTGGAAATGCAGATGCTGGAGCCACACCTGATCTGAATCAGAGTCTCAGTCGAGAAATGGGGAGGGCCTGGTAACCTGCATTGCAACATGATTGCAGACCACCAGGTTAGCAAAACTCTCAGCCCAGGTTTCTATCTCTGTGTGCCCAGAATCAAGGAAAGAGTGCAGGAAATGCCGGCATAGACAGGGACATGAGGCTCTGGGGTAACTCCTCCAAGCAAATGATATAGTTTCTTCCTGCTAGACGGCGGCTCTCGGAGCAGCTGGCTCACACCCCCACAGCCTTCAGACGAGACCCGGAAGACCCTTCTGCAGTTGCTCTGAAAGAGCCCTGGCAGGAGAAAGTAAGGTGAGTCGGGTGGCTGTGGTCCCTGGGCCCCTCCCAAAGCTTGGAGGTGGCCTAAGGTACTCACCGTGGCATCTGTATTGTCCGCCAGTCTCTCCCAAACTATCAGGCTCCCAGGCATCCGAGTCCTTGCCTTGTGGGGAGTTTGGTTTGGACTTCAGGCGGAAGCGATGTCTGTCCTCTCCTGTCGTCAACCCTTTGACACCTTTTGCTTCTTTCTTCACAGGCGAATCAGAGAGGGCTCCCCCTATGGCCACCTCCCCAATTGGCGCCTTCTGTCGGTCATTGTCAAGTGTGGGGATGACCTTCGGCAGGAGCTCCTGGCCTTCCAGGTGTTAAAGCAACTGCAGGTAAGAGAGGGAGGGAGGAAGAAGGGGAACTCAGCCCAGCTGAGGTGAGCACGCAGGTCGTTACGCAGGTGGTTCCACAGGGAGCTCTGCTGGGGACCAGCTTCCTGCCTAGGTCTAAACTGGATGCAGCTCCCACGAAAGCTGGTGCTCCTTCCCCAGGAAGTACAGCCACAGGAATAGCTCCACCGCGACCCCTCGTGGCCCGTTTGTGACCTGCACCTGCTGTGATCTCTGCACTTGGGAGGCTGGATTTGTCCTTTAGTCTCCTAACTGGTCTGTGGCAGCTGCTTTGCAGTGTGCCAGAGATGTCAATCCCCTGAACCTTTGGATTGGTCGCCTGCAAGCAACTTTACCTGTTAATCCTATTCTTTCTATAAATATTGTCATTTTCTTCAGAGGCTTTCCCTGGACCTAAAGCCTTTCCTGTCTTCTCCCTATTATTTGAATTTGGATTAGTGGCTCACATTCTGCGTGCCTGTGAGGTGTCAGTGTGGTTTCCCGTCCTCCCTGCCTTTTTGGGGTTTTCAACCTCTACGCTGCCTTTTCTCATATACTTCCCTGTATCTTGTGAGCCCTGGACTTCTTTCAGAACTCCCTCGTCCTCAGGGGGCATCAGTGGGTTTTACTCACTTGATGGCCTAGAAGCCAAGGCTACAAAGACGGGAACTGTCTGAGCTTGGGCTCCGGGGGCAGGGGGTGGATTTTAGCCTCCTCCCCTAGTTTGGGAAGATGATAGTCGCATGCCTCTGTGTCTCCCCACAGTCCATTTGGGAACAGGAGCGAGTGCCCCTGTGGATCAAGCCATACAAGATCCTTGTGATTTCTGCTGACAGCGGCATGATTGAACCGGTGGTCAACGCTGTGTCCATTCACCAGGTGAAGAAGCAGTCACAGCTCTCCCTGCTCGATTACTTCCTGCAGGAGCATGGCAGTTACACCACTGAGGCATTTCTCAGTGCGCAGCGCAATTTTGTACAAAGCTGTGCTGGCTATTGCTTGGTCTGCTACCTACTGCAAGTGAAGGACAGGTGGGTGAACTCCTTATCCTAACCTTGTCCCTTCATGAGAGTTCTCACTCTTCACCACCTGCCATGGCCTAGATGTAACAGTGGAATGAACAGCACGTTTTAAGCAAAGACGTGTTCGTGTGCCATTAAGCAGGGAGGCAGACCAATTAGTGCTAGGGGTACAGGGGCAAAGAAGTGGAGGACTTCTGGGAGGAGCAAGGGTTTGAGCGAACAGGGTCTTCAGGGACAAAGGCGGTGAGGACCGAGAAAGCTGTCAGGGGAGGACGCTCCAGGCGAGGAGACAGCGCAGTGTGCTGCCTGGCGGGGTGGTAGGCGGTGGCACCATAGGTAAGCTGAGGTCGGGTCAGAAGGGCTTTATTTTGCAGGTAGAGGAGTGACAAGATCCAGTCTGTGTTTAGTGACTGCCCCCAGGGCGCAGAGAGTGAGGGGAATGTACCTGGGTCTTCCATAAAGCAGGAGGTCCTGAGGCCTGGCCTGAGGCTAGCGGGGGCCACCGAGAGCAGGAGAAGATGGGTTCGAGGAATGTGCTGGACGTACAGTTGCAGCTCCCAGCGCTGAACACTCCTTCTTGTTCCAGCATGTGAATTTCACAACTTTTAAGTATCTTTTGTTTTGCTGAGAGCTGTCATTTCTTCCGATATCACATTGACCTTTGTGAGGTCCGGCTTCCCGGACCTCCCGTATAGGCGAGCATGTCGGACAGATAATTACACCACCTTGCTTTCTAAGACGGTCTCCAGACAGTGACTGTCTGGGTCAGCACCCGGAATGCTCCCATAAGTCGTGTCTCTCACCGGGCAGGGGGCAGCGCCCTGAAAAGGCTGAGATGCAGTGGTCTCTGCTCCTTGGGTGCCCGGTGACATGGCAGCACATGAAGATCTAACTCACAGGGCTGCTTATCAGAAATCTAATACCTATTAAGGCTTGCCGTTCTTATATGAAAACCCTGTCAGGCAGGCGTCTCCTTGTGAGGGAAAATAAGGGTCGGGGAGCTTTCAGGACCACCGCTTATTCTACCCTGCCAGCCCTGTAAGTGAGCCTGGCAGAGGCTCTGCGTGTGCAGGCTGCTGGGAAATGTAACTATTTGTAAGGAGTTTGGTTGCAAGCTTTAGACTGTCTCTGAAGAGGCAGGATTTTGAGCCCAGGGCCCAGGGAGCCTAGTGCTGAGCCCCAGATTGAGTAAGTGGGTGGCAGGGAGGCAGGGGCTAGTCAGGCCTCTGGGCTTTCCTGTAGAAAACTAGTATGTTTGGAAGACTTTAAAGAGGGGGAGGGGGCAGGCAGCTGATAAACCTTTTCTAATAACTCAAAAAACGAATGGATGTGGTGAAGCCAGGAATGGAATCAGCCGCTGGAAAGAAGGGGCAACAGTGAACGGGCCCCAAACTGGAATCAGGTGCACGATCTCCCTCACTGCTTCAGAATGAGCCCCCAAACAACCTTGCAGCTGGAGCTAACTCCAGCAGTTAGGAGATAAGCTGCCCTTCGGTAGCCTTGGGACCTTGTGCGTGAAAGTCATTTTTCCTCTCTGGGCCTCTGTTTCTTCACCTGTAAAATGAGAGGTTGAACAAGGACATCTAGAACTTTCTTGCTCCCAAGATTGTGCCTGTGCTGGTAGAGTTGTAATGCTTTCCCCCAAGGGGAAAGGACTGAGGTGGGACTGGTTCTCCCTCCATCCCCCTCTTTTGGCCAGTTTGACCAAACCTAGAGAAGGTGGCTTCAGACCCGGAGCTCTTAGCCTAACAAAGCCTCTATTGACACGGAGGGGGTCGGTTATGCTGAATGGGCCGGGCTCACATGCTTAGCATGTTAATTGTTCCTCCTTCTGCTGGCCATTCATGTGGGAATCACAAAGACCTGGGATTTATCTCCCTCTAACTCTTCTTCCTGCAGCTAGCCCTTAGTAATTGCTTCCTGAGATTTTTTTACGTATTCTTACCGAATGGTTAAAACCTACTCCTCCGCTCCCCACACAGTATTTAACATTTAAACTCCACTCAGCCTGCTCTCTTGTGGTGGGGCTCTGCTCTGCAGTGGGCTGACAGGAATTACCAACAAAACTCAGGTAAGTAGGTTCTGACTGGAGGCCTCCCACTGTGCCAAGGGCTTGGCCTCTAAGACAGTTGGCTGGAGCTACAGAGACCTTTCCTTGCTTCCAGCTTCTCTACTCAGTTGGGATCAGTTTGGGTGCTAGAAGCATGATTTTTGGAAAATGGGGATATTCTAAACTGTTTTTAAGTTGTTAATAATGGCAATTTCAGACCCCAGAGCCTTTGACAGCAGTTTACTTTTCTGAATTCCCTTCTTTCCTCTGATTAGCTGTAGGTCGTAAGAGGTTGGGCCCAGAGTTCTAGGCAGCAAGAAACTTGGCAGGAGGCTCCCCTAACCTGGTATCATATGGCCGGGGTGTAGCAGCTTGAGGCCCCCTGCCTCAGTCAGACTTACAACTGCCTCTTTTTCTCCTCTGCCCCCTCCTCAGACACAATGGAAACATCCTTTTGGATGCAGAAGGCCACATCATCCACATCGACTTTGGCTTCATCCTGTCCAGCTCACCCCGAAACCTGGGCTTTGAGACGTCAGCCTTTAAGCTGACCACAGAGTTTGTGGACGTGAGTCAGGAAGGAGAGGTGCCTCACTGTGTTCTTTCTGTCATGGGAGAGGGAGCTGTGGGCTCCCCCCAAATTAGGGACCAACAGAACAGAAATGGCAGCGAGTCAGGGTGAGGCTAGATGTCCTGGGAGGCTTCCTGCCCGATAAGAGAGCGGGGAAGTCACGGAGTTTGTCCTGTTTGCCCCGATGGAGGAAGTCCTGGCTGGCTTGGGAGCCCCTGTGCACACACAAGTCTCCCTTCGCAGGTGATGGGGGGCCTGGATGGTGACATGTTCAACTATTACAAGATGTTGATGCTGCAGGGACTGATCGCTGCTCGGAAGCACATGGATAAAGTGGTGCAGATCGTGGAGATCATGCAGCAAGGTGGGCTGGGAAGAGGCCGTGTGTTTGGGGACAGAGCAGTGCCTGTAGTGCTTCAGGGGTCCACTTGATGTTGGGGCCCCAGGGCATAGAATTTCCAAAAAGTGGATTCTACCTCAAGACTGGGGGTGTGGTTTCCCAGAGGGTGCCGTTTGTCCTTTGGAACATTGCTCCTGACGGAGCTGGGTCCCAGGGATGGGAGGGGGTGGGGGGTACAGACTGCAGAAACTACCCCTTAGGCATCCTCAGGGAGAGAAGAGCCCCATCTCCAGCCTCCTGGTCCCTCCCCGTCTCCCCATCCCTTGGCCCCCTGATTTTTTGTTTCCTTCCATCCCTCTGGCTCTGCTCTTTGCCAGCCCAGGTGTTTCCGGTCACCATTTTCCTCCCTGTTGGCCCTTGACCACTGACTGCCCTGTCCCCAGGCCCCTTCCCTGTCCCAACACTCACTCCTCCCTGTGAGCTGAAAGTATTTCCTCTCCGCTCTTCTTGATCTACTCCCCCTGAGCCATTCCCTCACTGCCTTGCCACCTAGAGTCTCTCCTCTGCCAGCTCTTCTGGGCCCTAGTCTCCATCCCCCTCCTCAGGGCTGCCGCAGTATGGGTACGTACGCCTGGGCTGAGCTGCCAGTCTCCTCCTCCTCCCCATCCCTGCCCCCACCCCGCAGGTTGTCGCCGTTGCTCAGGAGCATCCCCGTCTGGCCCCGTGATGACGGTAGCCCAGGTCATCTGTGAGTGTCAGACGTAGCATAGGCAGAGGCCTGCAACCAGATAAGTGCCCAGCTCAGGGCCCATTCCCCAGACCCTCTTCCCAGCCTTCCCTCTGGGTCCTGAGACTCTGCTCCCTCCGTCTGTACTGGGGGCGATGTGGTGCCGGCCCTCTCCCCATCTGCCCTCACACCCTCATACCCTCATCTAGAGGGGCTTAAGAGTGTGGGATGAAGATGGGCTCAAGACAGGGTCCCCCCCAACGCTCCCATCTCTTCCCAGGCAGAACTGCATCCACAGTCAGGGAGCTCTCTGATATGGGAGGGAAGGGGCGCTTCAGCTACCCCTGGCTCTCTATTTCCTGCTGTGGCTGTTACCACTGCCCCTCCCCCCCCTTGCCATCCGTGACCCTGTGCCCTCACCGCTTTCCCCAGGTTCTCAGCTTCCTTGCTTCCATGGCTCCAGCACCATTCGCAACCTCAAAGAGCGGTTCCACATGAGCATGACTGAGGAGCAGCTCCAGCTGCTGGTGGAGCAGATGGTGGACGGCAGCATGCGGTCTATCACCACCAAACTCTATGACGGCTTCCAGTACCTCACCAATGGCATCATGTGACACCCTCCTTCTCAGGCCCCGGAGTGGTGGGGAATTCAAAGGACTCTCCCTGGGAGAGCCCTTGTCTGAGAAACCCCAAACCAGGAAATCCCACCCACGGGAAATGGAAGGCAAGAAATACAGAGGATCATGTGGTAACTGTAGAGCTTGCCGGGGGTGGGAGAGCCAGCTGTGGGGCCCAGACTTGCCAGAGCTTCCCTGCCCCTAGCAGTGTCATTGTCACCATCTGACAGACTGCAGGACTCGCAGCCCTCCAGAGAACAGAGGTGAATAGACGTGAGGGGCACTGGGGCCTTTCTTCTCACCAGGGTCCAAGAGGTTCTTTCCACGGGCCATCCTTACTCTGTCCTGGGTCCTGAGGGGGGGTGGTGGTGGTGGGGGGGGGGGGGGGGGGGGGGAGTAGGTTCTCGGTACTTAGGACTTGATCCTGTGGTTGGCCTTTGGCCGTGCTGCTGCCCAACTCTGTCCCCTCCCAGCGACTGGCCCAGGCCAAGTTCCCCTTGCTGGGTGGACTCTGGCATGGGGTCCCCATCCCAGGGGTGGGGAGGGGAAGGGTCACGACCCCTCCAGTGGATGCGGGTATCAGCCTAGTCGCAGGGAATTCCTTGGCCTGATCCCTTACCCACACCCAGGGAAATAGCTCTCAACTTTTTATTTTTAATTTTTGTTTGAAATAAAGTCCTTAGTTAGCCATCTGTGTCATTTTTGGACTGTAATTTTTTTTCAGGGGTTGGGGGGGTAGTTGAGGAATATGAGCAGATGCCTGTGTCCTGGATGCCAAAGGCACCACAAAGAACTGGGTGGAGGAAGACTGCTCTTTCCCTGCCTGTCTGGGTCAGTGTCCTTGTCCTGGGAAAGGCCTCCCCAGCTTTCACTCTCTCCCCCTCCAAGTCCACAATGTCCAGGTCACATAAAGAGAGGAGCGTGAAGGGATTAAACCATGAGCAGTTTTAATGGTCTGGTTTTCTCCCTCCCATTTCCCCACTGTTAGTATTATTATTACTACAAGAATAAAGGATTCCTGAGAGCCTGTCCCCTCCTCTCCCTTGGGCCCCCCCTTGACAGGACTCGTCCCTACCAACCCCCCTGGATTTCTGGGTAAAAAAAAAAAAAGTGAAAGGCACTGCAGGGGTGGGGGTGGGGCTCAAGTGCCAGGGAGTCTGAGGGGTGGTGCAGGGGCAGGGCCAGGCTCTTGAGGGTTGAGAAGCTTCCTGAGGGCCCCAGCGAGGGGGGGGCAGGGGGGGGCGGGCCTTCCCTGGGCCCCACTCACAGGCCTAGGAACGTCCCTCCTCCCACCCCAACCCACTCGGGGTCTGCAGCAGGAGGATAATTAGTGTCAGGCTCAGAAAGGAGGAATGGAGGGCCCACTCTACTAGGACCCAAGGGCCAAACCCAAAGGGGGGACTGCAAGTCACTATAATCCTCAAAAGCCTGTTGTGTTTGGGGGCTGGGGGAGAGGAGCTGAACAAAACGTGAACTAGAAGGAAATCCCTAGCCCAGGGACGAGACAGCAGCAGTGACCCAGGCTCCCGCCGAAGAGGGAGGGGAGGCCGGCCAGTCCAGGCCCCGGGCCTAGTTGTCCCCGCTGCCCCCTTGCCGAGCCCTGATGAACGCCATGCCGTGTGTGCGGAAATGGGTCTTGAGGTTGAGCGGGCTGTCACAGCTCTTGCCACAGACCTTACAGGTCAGCGGGCCTCCAGAAGCCGACAAGGGAGACTCTCCGCCCTCCGGGTCAGACCTCAGTGGAGGAGGGGCCTCTTCTTCCCCATCACCCAGGCCCAGGGCACTGGCGCCACCCGCACCCCGTTTCTTCTTGTGGCTGATGAAGCGGTGCCTGCTCAGAGAGCCAGGGGAGGCGAAGCACAGACCACAGTCGAGGCACTGCTGGGCACCGCCATCCACCCTCAAGCCCACCATGAGGCTCTGCTCCACTGAGCCACTGCTCCGGTAGCGCAGGGGGCCGTGGCCTCCTGAGCCCGGCCCGCCCCTGGGGGACTTGGCTGGAGGTGTTGTGCTGTCAGGCTCCTCACTGCAAGAGTCAGACGACTGGCGGCGTTTCCGTCCTGGCCCCTGGCGAAGAGAGGGAAGAAATTAGGCCTCCCTCTCATCCCCCACTGACCCTGCCACCCCCGCCTAGCTTCCTGAGGCCAGGGCCTAGAACCCTGCAGTTTCCCAGTCCCACAGGCCCGGAAGAGCAGGCTGGGCCTCTGCCTACCTGGGCTCTGGCACCGGGGCCCCGAGCCAGGGTACCCCCCCGGCCGGGCGACTGGGCCCCGAGCGGCAAGCCATGCCGGACCTGGACATGTTTCTCCAGGATCAGGCGGCTGCTGAAGGTGCGTTTTCCCTCTGTGCAATACCTGCAGGGGGAGAGTGGGTAGCGTGGATGCCAGGAGACTGGCCCAAAGACCAAGGCCTGCGGCTTGAGGGGGGCAGGGGGAGGAGGTTCCCAAGAGCAGAGGGAGGCCTCAACCTTTGGTCCACTCTCGAGTCATGGTCGGAAGGTACTTAGTGGGGCTGGGGGCATGGGGTGGGCAGGCCTACTTGCTCAAAAAGAGGAAAGGGCTGGGGGCGGGGGGTTGCAGATGAGGGGCAAGGGTTACCTGCATGGGTAAACTCGCTTGATACCCTCGTGATTGACCCTGACGTGGCGCCTCAGGCTGGGGGCGGAACAGAAGGAGCGCTCACACAGGCGACAGGGAAACTTTTTCACTGACTGGGAGAGCAGACGGTAGGGAACCTCAGAGCCAGGTTCTAAGACCCCAACCGCACAGCCACACAACCCGATCCCAGGGGGAAGGCCCACTCACCTTGCCATGCTCCTTCTTCATGTGAGCCACATACTCGTCTCGCTCAGGAAACCAGGAGTGACAAAGGCCACAGGTCCAGCCTCCAGGGCCCCCACCCCCACCCTTGATGCCTTTGTTCCCTAGTTCCCGTCGGGGCCGTTTGGTTGGGCGAGGGGGCTCAGGAGAGCTGGGTAGTTCTTCTTCTTCTGAGGATGAAGACGATTCCTCAGTAGGGGCAGCTGCTCCTCCCCGAGCCACAGCCAAGTCCTCAGGCTCAGCCTTGGGGGTCATAAGGGCACCCGCAGCCCCTTTCCCAGCAGTCTCCTCCCCCGGGCGCCCGGACTGATGGGTGTTCTGTGACAGGGAGACAAGGGGGTGGCCACTGTGGGGGAGGGCCTGGCTTTGCCAGAGGCCTCGTTGCTCCCCCACGCCTACTTCCTCAGGGTTATGTTACCCTAGCCCCAGGTCACCACAGCCAAGCACCCCACCCCTGTCCCTCAACTCCTCTACCTTAAGATGTTCCAGCATGGTCCTTTTCTGAGCAAAAAGCAGAGGACAAGATGGGCACTTAAAGACGCTGACACGCTGGGGCAGCAGGTGCTGGTCGAAGTGTGAGGAGAGGAGGGGTTTGTGAGTGAAGACCGTGTCACACATGGCGCACTTGTAGATCATCCTGTGTGGGTGGAGAGGACAGTGCAGACATCCTGCCCATCGGGGCCCCAACCCCGCTCTGGCCCACCCCACTCCCTGCCAGGTCTCACTTGGCCTGCTGCGTGTGGAAGCTGGGGTGCTGGGTGTACAGGTGGGCATGGGCGCTGGGCGCGGACTTGAAGGCCATGGGGCAGATGGGGCACTTGTGGAAAACCTCGCAGTGCGACGTCTGGATGTGGGACTTGATGGAGTTCACGCCCCCGAACACCACTGCACAGCTGGGGCACCTAGGCGGCAGGGGGCGCCGAGGTGAGGCAGGCTGTCTCCAGCCCGTCCCCCAGCCCCGTCATTCCTGGGAACTGCGGGACTCAGAAGTTCCGGGCGGCGGCGGAGCCCGAGCAAGGTGGGGAGAGGAGGGGAGCGCAGACCCTGCTCCTTGAGGGAGGCCTGCGGAGGCCGAACTGGAGCTCTCTCCCCTGTCCGTGGGAGCAGGGCAGAGACAGATCTCAGCCTGAAGGGTTCAGCAGGAGAGATGGGGCGCTCCCTGACAAGCCAGCTGAAAGGCTGGTGCTGGGACACAGGCGGCCATAAAGTGCCGGCAGGGTCGGGGCGGGGGGGGGGGGGGGGGGAGGGGGGGGGGGAGGGGAGGACGGGGCAGGGGCCAGACTATGGGGAGTCAGGAGGCACCTGTAGCCTACACGGCGAGACAAATGTAGACAGGCCTCCCGAAGATGGGTCTGAAAATTGGCTTGCAGGAAGTTGCCCCCACACTCCGGGCAGACATGGGGAGGCCGGTTCTTATGCATGCGCTGGTGGGCACTGAAGCTGCAGCGATTGGGGAGCATCATGGGGCAGGTTGGACACACCTGTCAAGGGGGCGGAAAGAAGGGAAGTCAATGAGGAGTGGCCTGTCCCCCATGACTTCTTCTGACCAAGCCCCCAACACCTTCCCAGATCCTACTCCCATGGCAGCGGGCTCTACCCCCGGGAAAGGGCCGCGAAAGGGAACTCACAGTGCTGTTGGCCCCAGGGGCAGGGGGCCCGAGCTGCTGGAAGTGGGCAGCCATGCCGGCCTTGTCCCGGCACTGCTCCTTGCACTCCAGGCAGCGAAAGCACGTGTAAGCCGAGGAGGCAGGGGCAGCAGGCGGCTCAGACGAGAGTGGCAGCACAGGGGCCTCAGCGGCAACGGCGGTAAGGGCGGCGGTGATGGCCCCGTCACCCTTGCCCAAGGCAGGCAAGGCTGGAGGTCCGAGCGCGGGCGGGACAGCCAGCAGGGGCGTGATGTCCGGCTGCCCCACCATCTGGTCCAGGGCGACGGGCCTCATGACCAGGTGTGAGCACTGCATGACGAGCCCTTTGTCCTTGTGCTCTCGGGCATGCAGCAGCAGGCTGCACTTGTTGAAAAAGACCAGGCGGCGTGCGCAGTGGTTGCAGGTGACCTCGATGCGCATGCTCCGGCGGTCATAGTGCCGCGCCAGGCTCTTCTCCAGCGAGAAGGCGTCACCACACTCGAGGCAGCGGTAGCCTGTCGGAGGCAGGGCCAGCCCGGCCTCAGCCGGTGGACTCAGGTTGGGCCGGTAGGCAGGCAGCAGGTTCTTGCTGTTGAGGATCTTGTTGAAGGCCTCCACCAGGCTGGACTGGGTCCGCGAGATCACCGTGCCACCTCCTGCACCTGGCCCGGTGGCCGCCTTGGAAGGCTGCACCATCACCACTGAGGCACCGTTCACCTTCTGCCCCCCGGTCCCCAGCCCTGCCCGCCCCTCCACCTTGGGCAGGGCTTGGGGTACCAGCCCTAGCACATTCTTAGCCAGTGTCTTAGGGCTGGTGGCAGCGCCCCCAGGCAGAACCACAGCTTTGCGGGCCACGCTGGCCGCCATCAGCATGGCAGTGCTTGCGTTCTGGATGGTGGCCACAGGCAGCACAGTACCCTTTAGCCTTGTGCCATCACCCAGCTGGACGCTCACCACCTTTGGACCCTCAGGGGTCGAGGTTGCAGGGGACAGCTTCAGGAGGCCAGCCTCAGCCAGAAGGGTCCCCTCAGCCAAAGGGGCAGGAGGATCAGGGTCTGAGGGGACCCGGGTTACCGTCCTTGTGATATTCCCGCAGGATGTTTTAATGGTCTTGATCCGCACCTTGAGAGGCCTTGAGGAGCTGGAAGAGGCAGGGGAGTCATTGCTGTCCTCATCTGCAGCCTCAGCTCCACTAGAGGGACTCTGGGGGCTTTCGGGGGAAGGCTTATCCACCGGCCCCTCCTCCTC